ACGGTCCGATGAGTTGGCCGTTCAAGAGTCCCTGGCTCTCAGCGTTCAGTGCGCTGGTTCTGTGTCAAACATGGGCCAACGCCTCCTTGCTCGCTCCCGTCAGGTTGAATCATTGATGGCGGAGGTGGAGAACCTGAAGCAAGAGATAAAACAACTTAAGCACGAGAATAGAACTTTGCACGTGCTTGCAAATAATTATTCATCAGGCATGAAGAGGAAGCTTGATGAGCTTGATGACCGTCAACGGTTTGCAGCTTTCTTCCAGAGGCACCTCTTTCCTGGGTCATCCAGCGTTCCACCAAGGTTTGGGGCCTTGAATGATCTATCCTCGGTGCCTCCCGCTCCTATGCCTCCTGCTCCGATGCTTCCTGCTCCTATGCCTCCTGCTCCGATGCCTCCTGCTCCGAGACCTCTTGCTCCGAGAGTGTTGCCACGTAGTGGGGCCTCACGTACACAACCTTTGTAAAGGCTCCATCTTTCTGCCATGTTTAGATACAATTGTAATTTATCGAAAAAAATCAATGAACAAGCAAAAGTTTTATTTACTGTATTGGGTTGCCTCCCAAGTAGCGCTTGCTTTTACGTCTTGTAGCCGGACGAAGAACACAATCATGCCTTAATGGAACCCATGGCATGGAGTTGATCATTGAATGGATGATGATACTTGAAATGTTCTGGCAATGGTTGAATTTCAAGAGTGGGTGCCCTAATCATTGACATCAACAACATATTAGTCAAAAACGACTTTGGATTTTGAGTTGGTGGCTTACCTATGGGCTGCAATATTGGCTCTAAAGTCGCAGCACATTCAACAAATGCACAAGGGATGTTTTCATTCAGATTAGACATTTTGAAGGTTGTGGCTGTGTGATCCACTCCAATTTCCTCCTTGATGAATTCAAGATGCTCCTCAACCACTTTTTCCTCGTGAATTGTTGGAAAGGTGTCCAAGATGTCTTTCTTCCCCTCATCTTTCATGGATTGCATGAACCTGCCAGGGAAGGGTGCATTTGGGGGAACAAAGTTAGAAATAATTAAATTTGGAACAACCTTACTTGAATGGGGTGGTGTAGGAATATTGGGAGGTTGCGGCAAGGGTTGTTCTTCCCTTGCCGTGCCTTGTGCATCCTCCTCCTCTTCGAGCAGTAGCAATTCATCCATGGGCTCATCTTCAACCATTTGTTCTTGAATTTGTTCCATGCATTCTGCATTCTGCCTAAATTGACTGTTCCACTCAGCCAACTTTTTTGCTTGATAGAAATCCTCAATTGGTCGCCAAAATGCGTCTTGTTGAAATGGTTGAGCTTCCCTGCCCTGCTCCACAGAATTCAGTTGTTGAATAACTTCATTATAATAATTTGATATACCTGAATTTGGATGTGAAGATTGAGGGGAAGGCTGTGGTGGTGCATATGAATCCTCATATGGTTGCCAATATGTTTCTTGGTGAGTCTCCTTAGCTTGATTTTGTGAACCCTGCACCAAAGAGTTTAATTCATTAAGAATTTGATTATAATCTATTGACGAATTTGAGTTTGGTTGGGCATATTGAATATGAGGTGGCTCCCAATATCTTTCTTGTTGAACATTTTGAGGTTCCCACCACATAGAAGTTGAATGATCACTCCAATCCGAATTGTAAGTATTGGAAAACACGTTATTCCTTGATTGAAGATCAACTATATCAACGTTTTGCATTTGGGACCTTTCCATGAGCTGTGACAAAAGATAAGCATTATCAAATGCCATGTTGTGCTTCTAAAATCAACAAAATAAAACTAAAAATATATACACACAAACGAAAATAAAACAATCCAAGGGATTAGCAAAGTTGCTAATCCCCGGCAACGGCGCCAAAATTTGATGCGAGAATTATACGCGCACAAATTAAACCCTCTTTTTGACAATTGTAGTATAGAATGTAAGTAGGGATCGTTCAGGACCGGGGATTAGGAGGGATTGTTAATCACTTGGATTTGACTCAAAAACGTAAAAACACAATATAAAACACTATACTAGACTCAAAGAATGCAAAACTAAACTTTAAAACACCAAAACAAACCAAAAGACTCAAAACAGCACCAAAACACTCAAAACTGCCTTAAAAACACTTTCTGGGCAGTTTTGAGCACTTTGAGTACTTTGGACGAATTTGGGTAATAACTTGAATCAAAACACTTAGAAACACACACTAAGACACTTTAACACTAAACTAGACTCAAAGAATGCAAAACTAAACTTTAAAACACTAAAACAAACCAAAAGACTCAAACATCACCCAAAACACTCAAAACAGCCTTAAAAACACTTTCTGGGCAGTTTTGAGCACTTTGGTGAATTTGGACGAATTTGTATAACAAATTGAATCAAAACACTTATAAACACAACCTAAAACACTTTCTAACTAATTTGGACATTAAAGTAAGGGGGGATTGAGCTTTGGACGAAATTAAACTAATTGCACAGATTCTAATTAAAAACAGAATGTAAATATGAATGTGATGGATTTGAATGGATGGGATGAAAAGCTAGCTAAGGGGTTCATCTCCATATATGTTACACTTGCATAATAAAAAGATTTCCAAATGCATTTCAATAAACCATGAATTCTCAACGCCCCGGGTTAATTAGGTCCGCTTAAATTAACCGTCAAGTTTTCCTTAAGTTAATGAATTGGATGATTGCATACGACAACCCAAAGCATTCCTCACAAGTTCCCTACATGAATTGCATAATAGAGATACAAGCAAGAATCATTAAGCATCATGAAAACTATAAGTGTTGACGAGGCATTCGTTACTATGATTGCATGAAACTTATGCCAAGAATTTGTTTAACGCGATTGTTTATAAGCAACCTCTACTACTTGTGAATATAAGTTCATAACTATTACGTGAAACTCACTTATATTCTAGCGTCATATTCATGCATGAAAATTAAGCGTATACTCTCAATAAACATACATAAATAAGTTATCAATCAAACAGTTAAACAAATTGAATCCACAACTTATGAAACGCAATTAGAAGTAATCAAATCAAAATGCAAGCATAAACATATATTTCGAATCCCCCCCTAGCCAAGGGGGGTTTAGTTCCTCATACGTACAAAACAAAGAGAATTGAAATTAAACATTGAAATCAAAGAAACGCCTAAACATTCCAACAACTCAAACTTGAATTGTATGAACGTTTAGGCCCTCTTCTCTTCCTCTTCGTTGTAGCACAAGGTCTAAGGATTGGTTTGGAGGGATGGGGAGTTATGGATGGTGTAGAATGATGTGTTTAGGATAGGGATGGATGTAGGGGACCTCAAGGCTTCTTTTTGGGCAGAAAATATGAAGAATGGTGAAGTATGGATGTGTTATAGAGAGGGGATGAATTTCTGGCGTGAATGGTGTGTATTGTGTATGAATGGGAATCAATGAATTGTGGCTGCAATGGATGCTTATTTATAGGTGAAAAAGAGGGAATATGACAGCTAGGAACTTGGTGGAAATCTGAAATGGTGATGGGAGATGCATGTGGCTGATTTATGCATGTGATTAAAGGGTAATGACAGCTAGGTTATGATGATGAATGCATGTGCAAAGTTGGTTGAATGATTATGGGTGCATGTGGCTGATTTATGGTGCAATGATGAAAGGCAAAGTGCATGTGGCTGATTTGTGAAGGGAATGCATGTGGAATGAATGTGTGAATGATGGCAGATTGTGTATGTGAATGATTAGGGTGAATGTGCATGTGCTTTGACAGCTAGGTTGAATAAATTAAAGGGAGTGCAAGTGGCTTGGCTGGAATGATTGGAATGCAATCTGAAATGGGATGTGTTGGTGTGAATTTTTGGTACAAAGGGCCTCCTTTGGTCTTCAATTTCGTCCATCTACTTGGCTTCAAGTATATGCAATCCATTTAACGCCCCAAACTACTCCAAAATGCACCAAAATGCACCATTTTGCATACTTTGCCCTTAGAACCTGAAAACACACAAAAGAAGCATAAAGGACTAAAATAACTAAAGAAACATAACGTAAATGCACGAGAACAAGCCATTTAAGTCGCATGAATATGCTCCTATCAGGTTGAATTATGCCTCACAAAGGATTAGCAATAATATGCTTCAAATTCACCTTTAGTGAAAATTAAACCTACCACTAGACCGCAGTACTAAGTGGCTAGGCAGGATAAAAGTTAGATTAGAATTTCTATCTCAACCATTAAAATTTTTCGTTCCAAATTTAACTAACTTAAAAATGTGAAAATAGAATGAGTTTTGAGATTTCAAAATTTTTAAATTTTAAATTCTTTCTTTTTCCAATCAAAAAATTCAAAATTTTCAAATTTTTTTTTATAGTTATTCTATTATATCCCTAATTTATAAAGAAAGAAAAGATATCCTACTTAAAAGATAATTAAGTACACAAATAGATGTCTTCGAAACCTAGAAAAAAAAACTTACATGAAACGGATTTATCACTATCATCGTGATGTTTTGATTTCATAATAAAATATTTGTTTAAATTTTTAACACGACATTATATTATAAATTTAGAATGCCACGTAGTGGCGACCGTTCCATGTAGGAAACGATTATATTCCTTGTGTAAAAGGGAAACGATTATTACTAGGCCCGGGATTAGGGTTTAGGGTTACGATATAGGAAGGAAACCCTAAATACGATATAGGACGGAAACCCTAAATACGATATAGGAAGGGAACCCAAAGACGATATAGAACAGAAACCCCAAATACGATATAGGATGGAAACCCTAATTAATTAGAATGTGACGTGTAAGGCAAGTAATAATTAGAGAAATCGTGGTCTCCTGATGCATTTGGAAACTACTTTTTCTGTTTCCTATTCGAATTTGGTTTCCATATACAACTCTGCCGCCCTACTTCCCTCCCTCCCTATAAAACTCAACCAAAACCCTACTTCTTATTACAATTTACGACTCTCAGAATTTAGAATTCATGAGATTAATTTCACAGAAGAAGAAGATGGTGACTCCTACGAGAAGAAGCTTGGAACTCATTCCCAACGAGACTGCTCGAAAGATGGCATTTCGGAAGCGAAAGAAGAGCGTTTACAAGAAGGCCGATGAGCTCTCCAAACTTTGTGACATTGATGTGGCCTTGATTGTCTACGAAGCTGACCAAAGGAAGGGGATTAGGCCAGTTCAGCCGGAGACATGGCCGCAAGATCCAGTTGAATTCAATCGCATTCTCAGCAGGTACAAGGCTTCCAAGGATGCTGCTGCCCCCGGTTTCCTAAAAAGAAGCTTCAGTTTGTCTGATTTTTATGGGGCCAAGATGAAGAAAGATGATGACGGTGGTGACGGTGATCACAGTGATGGTGGTGATGATGGTGATGGTGGTGATGATGGTGATGATGGTGATGATGATGATCATGTCGATCCCAAGTTTCAAAAACCGGGCAATAAGCACATTTCCGAGAATAAGTACCCAACATGGGATGCTCGAATTGACCTATTCTCAGAAGATGAATTGATTAAATTCATTGCTTCACTCGAAGCCAAGATACAGGCATCAACACTGGAGATTGATTCCATGGAAAGATATTGTGCTGTGAAACAAAATCAAAATTTATCCCGAACTCACTCAAGCTCAAGCGAAACACCACGACTCTTGAACCCTGTGTATTTTGATGTGCAGATGCCCCCCTCTCAGGACCCTGTAAATCCATTTATTCACGACGCATTAGGCCAAAAAGTTACTCATGAATTGGCCAAATGGGGTGGTTTTAATAAGAATTCGGTGAATTCTACTACTACTAGTACTACTACTTCAGTCATGGAATTGAAGAATCCGATGCATACTACTTCTACTACTAGTACTTCAGCCATGGAATCGAAGCCTCCATTGCCTGTGAAACGTCCAATGCTGCCAAGTGCGTGGATTTTGAACTCAGAATTACAGAAGAAGATTTAATTAAGGACACCATCTCAAATCCTTGGTTATCGAACTTCTAGTCTTCTACTAATTTTTGGTTTGATTGGTTTAACTCTTGATCTACCGTTTGGCTATGAACAATATTCACCTTGCTATTGTTTTGTTTAGAGATTAGCAATTGCTTTGTAGTTTTAATTTAATTAATTCATTGTTGGAAGTCGGTTACCTTGGTTATGCTTTCGTTCTTGATAAATTTATCTTGCACTCCTCCCTCTCTTATTTCACTACAAATTACCGTCTTGCTAGAAACAGAGGAAAATAAACCTAAAGGGTTCTCGAAAGAGGAAAGCAACCATAATCTGCAAAACTTTCATTAGGAAATTGTCAAAGCCCCGAGTCTTATCCTCCAATGGTGATCGAATATCTTGCCTCACCGAGAATATGGTGTGCCTCAATTCATAGTGACACGTACAAATTTTCGTGCAAAGGGTTCTGTTTTGGCAGCGAACAACCTAAGAATTTAAACATGTTATGTTATTATGCATCATAAGAAGTAAGAACTAGTGAGAGGGCATCAATGTATGTTATTGGTTTGAAATACAACGTGCTTTGTATAAGACTATTAACCATGCTCATTTTGTTCACGAGCCTAGTGGATTTGACGAGTTGGGTACCATGTACTGGACTCATCCTTAAAGTTGTTAACTCAGACGTACAATTTCAATTTCTGTTGGAGTGTCAATTAAACTCTTTTTAACATACGGAAGAAGTTTTATTCGGATGTTGCCTGTCATTCCTCTTAATGTCTTTATTGATGCAGAGAAAAAGCGCTAACTAAAACTGACATTCTTGTTCTCATGAGTATACCAATTTTCTTGCAATTTGTTCACTCAATTATTCCGTGTAAGAAATGAATAGATTTGTTTTTTCTTGATTTCTGCAGTTTGTGTCAGTTAGTACTTCAGGCTTTTGGCAATGGCATTCCTGTCAGAAATGAAGTAAATAGAAGTAATGATCTCTCTGGCTGCGAAATTGGAGCTTCATGGCCTGCTCCTCTTATGGTAGCGTAAGATAAAGCGTCACTGTATACTTGTGTCCATCCAGCAACCTGAAAACTTAAAAATTTATAAAGGATAAAAACTGCTAAGACAACAAGTAGATAGTCCGAATTTTCCACTGTTATTATATTCATGAACCGACCTGTTTTTCTTCAAACCAGACTCTGTAAGGCACATTCGTTTGTAGCCCCAAGTCCTTTGCCAATCCGCTCACCAGTGTCCGTGTACTCATTAGTGGAATAACAGAATCTTGATCTCCACTGTGGAAAACATGTAAGATGTACCTTTAAGTACAATTTCTAAAAGACTAAGATTATCAGAGATGGCAAGAGTTTTGATTTGCACAACGGTGAGACTCATCACCTGTAAATTAAAACCCGAATTCCAGACTTGACAAGGTCACCTAAAACTGGAAGCATCGGTATTTCCAGGTTTTTCATGTCATACTCGAGGACACCTCCGCTGTAAAAGAGGATAATCAAATTTAGAAGCACAGTAAACAGAAAAGACTAGCTGCACAAGGAACATTTCTACGATCTTTGAATAGTTTGGAGTATAATTGGAATTCTTTTCATGTTTTGATTCATCTTCGGAACCTACTACGTTTATGTGCATCAGTGATTCAAATGAGATGAGATGATTACTTGCTGCAAGTTGTCCAACTTGTGAGTCGGGCATGAAGCGCCTCCTGTACATCTGGTCGGTTGAAGTATGTAACTGTTTCATCTCCGATACAGACATCTATCTTCACTGTTTTTTGCTGCAGATGTGATCAGTGAGTTGGAAGTTTGTATATTAACGTAGAGAATTTGAGAAATGAAAGGAGAAAATATTAAGGCTTACCAGTTGGAAAGATTGAGCTTCAACAGATGATAAACAGACATCAAGAGTAACGTCATATTGGTTGATCAAATGTCTAGGGACTTCTCTTTCAAATTGGTTTGCTACTGCATCACAAGCAGGGCTAAGTGGACCAACACGAATTACCTTCTGTCTGAAAATTTCAGAATAGTTGCAGACTGAAGTCAAATTTTCGAATGTCGCATCTGATATTAATCCATGAGACCACAAGTACTCTGCTCGTGAGTTGATATCAGTACTGAATTCAAAAAGAGGATTGCCAATCTGCAAGCAAAAACAGCTCAAGCATGACATCTTCGTCGAAAACATCAACTCCAAAGTCACTTCACTTTTTTGATTCTCGTTTGCTTACTGCTACTGCTTTCAGATTGAACTTCAGTTTTGATTGGATAATGAGTTGTGCAAGCTGTGGAACATAGTGGCCTGGCAGTGACAAAATGGAATTTTTTAGAAGCGCGTCGTAAGTTTGTACCTTTCAAGTTTTCTAATTGGTCATTAGTGATAGAAATGATGGTTTTACAAGTAAATGATGTTACCTGCATAGCTCTCTCCTGTGATAAACAAATCCCTATTTTTATACTCAGGGAATTCGTCGAACCAGCGCTGAAGGAACTCGAGATTATCTCGTGCTAAAAAGAAGAGAATCGGAACATGATCAGAATGTACATGTTTACTATTTTCGGGTTATATTTTGTTGGTTGAATGAGGATTGAGAAAGTCATATGAAGCGAAAACCTGTGATATCGTCGTTCACGAAGCCATAGAATGATTTGTTTGCTGAGTAGGAGAAGCCTACTCCTGCTGGTGACTCCAAGTATAGCATATTTGCTTCTGCAAAAATTATATAAACAGGAGAAAATCCATCGTAATTAGTAGCAATGTTACGTGAATAATCGGGAGCAGAATCTAATTAACAAAATGTGACACAATTGTGATCACTTAAAGACTAATTTAATGGATTACTTACCTCTATTCCAACTAAAATCGTTCTTGAGTAAATTGTCTCCGCTTGGTTGAAAAGGTCCATTCTCGTTGAAAGCTCCAACTCCAATAGATGAACAACCAGGACCTTCAATTAGAAGTCACAAAGCTCAATTATTTGGTTCATAATTGTGCTACGTAACATGCATTCAATAATGTACAAAATGTTGCAGACGCAAGCGTCACTAAGTTGGCTGAAACAGTATGAATAACAAAAACAAATAATGCGTAAAATGTTTCCGGTAGGGATTATATTACTCGTTCCTGGATTTCGATGGAAGCTCACCTCCATTGAGCCAAAGAACAAGAGGCTTGGAAGCAGGATCAGTTTGTGCTTCAACAAAGTAGTAAAAAAGAGATCTCTCTTGCTTTTCATCCACAGTTACATATCCTGCATATTGCTGGAAGTTGACTTGTGGTTGGCCTGGCAACCTTGCAATTTTATCCGCTTCTTGGAGGGAGTTTGCCGTGGAAAACGCTTGGATGACAGTTGCAAATACTGCAGCGACGACGACGATACTCCCTCGTCGAGGCTGCATCATGAGAGAGAGAGAGAGAGAGAGAGAGAGAGAGAGAGAGAGGGAGCTTCAAATATGAATTGTGGTGTGGGATGGTACAAGTATATAAAGATCTTTTCTCGATTTTATTTGGTACCAGCTAGCTGCGTTGTGTAAGACAAATTGCCCAAGAGCGTCTAAGACGAATTGTCCAAGAGCTAATGTATCCAATTCTGACGTGGGTTATTAAGTTCAAAAGTATATTTATATATACTAAAACCCAAACCGGTTGGGTACTGTTCTATAACAGTGTTTTGACGTAATTGCCCTTTGCTGCTGTTGAGTTTGAGGCTTTTTCCCTGTTTAGAACAGTTAATTTACAGATTTACCCTCATTTGGTGCTGTCTGCACAGTGATAATAAATGCACAGTGATTTCTATATTTGCCCTCATTTGGTGCTGTCCTCGAAAAAGAGATAATAAATGCACAGTGATAGAAATATATATATATATCAGCATGTTTTGGTTTAGATTAGGCCACGTGTTGATCATCCTCTTCCATTTGAGAGGCAGACAGAGGAAAAGATGGATGCCTTGCAGTTGTCCCATGGCAGTAACCAAAGTCCATTCCTCGAAAAAGAGATAATAAATGCACGGTGATAGAAATATATATATATATATATATATTTATTTATATTTATATATATCTCAGCATGTTTTGATTTACAGTAGGCCACGGGTTGATCATCCTCTTCCATTTAAAAGGCAGACAGAGGAAAAGGTGCATGCCAGTTGCCTGGTGGCACTAATTAAAGCTCATTCCTCGACAAAAGAGATAATAAATGCGAAGTGACAGAAATATATATATATATGTATGTATGTATGTATGTATAAATATATATATGGCAGGGCATAAAAGATAGTCCTATGTCATGATGCGAGGTGATGCGAGGTCGGAGAAAAACAAAGAGATAAATATATATATATATATATATATATATATATATTATATTGACTAGGGCAAACCACGTGTTAATGATCCCATGCATTTGGCTTTTTAGCTCTTCGCTTTTATTTTTCGTTTCTTTTCTGCGCGTTTCCTCTCTCATTTGTCTTTCTTTTTGGTTTCGACTTCGGCGTTTTCTCCCCTCTCTCTATCGCTGCTTGCAAATTTGGGTTTGTAAGCTCTTCTCTTTTATTTCTCTTCTCTTTGCTGCACGTTTGCTGTCATATTTTCTTTTCTTTTCTTCTTTTTTTTAGCTTCGGGCTTATGTTTTTTCTCTTCTTTTGGTATTGCTGCTTGCACATCTAAATTTCTAACTTCGGTGCTCAATTTGGGTTTCTAAGTTTGGTCCTCATTTTTGTTGTGCTTTTTGCTTTCGATTTTGTTTTGCTTTGGAGTTTTTGTTTTTCCTTTGCAATTGTGATGTTGTTTTGCTGTTTATGATGTTATTTCGTTGGAGCGTGCATATTCATGTTTTTTTTTTTTTTTTTGGGAAACAGGTTCTGTCTTGAGGATTTCTGGCTGGAGTTCTTGCTTCCTTTTGTCAGGTATTAAGTTTTTTTTACTTTTTCCTTTTATCAATTGATCTCAGTGTTAAATCATATGTTTTAGTGTTCACTTCAATTTTTTTTTTTTTTTTTGCCTGGTTGGTTTTACTTCTGTTCAGACTGTACTATGATATCTTTTAATATATCAGGCTATATAAGTGTTATATATACTATATCAAGTGTTGTTATTAAACTGGTGATGGTGATGCTTTTGTTAATATGGATTGTGTGTTGTTAAAAGTGAAGAAGGTGATGTTTCTGTTATAACCAAATAAGAACACTATTAAATTAATTGTTTTTCCTGCTGCAATTTAACAACAATTCCCCCTTTTCTTATACGGATTTATTTGTGATACAACGTTTGTATTTGTATGTTTTGTTTTGTTAACTAGATTATACTATTTTGTACAGAGCTATTTAATGTTGACTATTTGTTGTATCAAAATCATCTCAATGCTTAATCAAATTTGATAGGATCGACAAACGATTTCTTTTGTCTGATCGTATTAATCAAAAGAGACTGACAACTTATTTAATAAATGTGTGTGTTTTTATTTCACTATTATTATTGAATAACTGATCTCGCTCAAAATCAAATTTCAATTACAGTTTTTTTTATCCGTTTATAATATTTATAAAAATGCATATATTGTGACTGATGCTTTAAGTCTCCTTGGTTGCACCGTTTATAAATTTATAAATATTTCGTTTCTATAGATTAAATGGAAGACGAAGGTCCAACTCCGCTTGATCAATTGACGGCATATAAAAAGATTGTCAGAATTAAAGTACGTGTTTGTAGGATATGGAGACCAAAATACCCAGGCATGGGCGACAAATATACAGGCTTGCACTGTATATTGGTTGATGAAAAGGTTTGTCATAATTCTTTTATCAAATGACTATAAACGATTGATCTTCTATGTTAAGAATGAATTATTATCTTTAAAGCGCATGACGTAGTTTTTATACTGGCTGTGCTAAAGATTGTGTACAATTTATTTGAAAACTCTTTATTATCCTGTTTTATATTCTCAAATCATACATTTGTTTTGCCATTTATCATGTGCACTGCAAAGCTTTTTGTACACATGTTCATTTCCTTTGAATTGTTACTTATAGTTGTTAATTCACTGTTGTTATTTACAATCTTCTTTTTTATTATCAAGCAACAAGCTATCGAAGCATCTTCTACTGAAATGGACTATGAAATAATAGTTCCAAAGATTGAAGCAGGCACTTGCTATGAGATCATGAATTTCCGTACTAACTATGCAAGGGCTCAATATAGAGTTGTTCCACATGAGACCCAAATCATTTTCACTTCGAAGACGGTTTTTAAGAAGTTGGCAAGTGTCTTTCCGCCTATTCCACGACACAGATTTTTCTTGCAGGATTATAACAAATTATATCATCGGTTAAACAAATGTGATATCTTGACGGGTAATCATATACATAAATAAACATTTTAATAAATGTTCGTGCCTATTTTATTCAACAATTTCCTATGAGCTTACCAATTTGTTTGTTTTTTTTTTTTTTTTCAAATTTGAAGATGTTATTGGCCACCTCATTTCAGTCCAGCCTTTAGAACCAATACAGATCAATCAGAGAATTGAGGACAAATGTGATTTGGTTATCCAAAACATCAGGTCATTTCGTCTCCATAATAAAATTTAAAAGCTTTTTACCTGTCAATTCCATTTCAATAGTCTAATAATCATATTCTTCTATTAAAAATAGTTCCAATAATTTGAAATACAAAGATTTTCATGACTTTAAAATTTTTTTTATCCTTTTTGGCTTGCGTTGTTTTACAGAAATGAAGAAGCTAAGATCACACTATGGTCAGATGTTGCACATGCCTTTTCTGCTTTCTCATTAGAACAACTAGACCAACCAATCATTATTGTTTTTACAAGCTTGAAGGTTAAACTGTTCGGAGGTATTTACTTTAATAAATTTTTTTTTTGTCTCTTTCTAATTTGTTTAGCTATTAAACTGACTTTTATTTTGTTTCTCTGCCCTTGCAAAACTATGTTTGGTGATTTTATTTTATAAAGCGTATTCAAACATTGACTCCATTAATGTCTCATATCTTTACGTATACGCGTAAAAAAAAAATGTTAACTTATAATATTACATAATTACAAGTGTAAATTAGCAATTTTTCTACACATCAATAAATACATTTCATTTAATCATGATCAAACAAAGCTTCTCACATAGAAAACAGTCAAATTGTTGATAAGAGGTCTACATCATATTTGCAAAACGGATGTTATTACGAGAACAAACATATTGTATAGGTAGTTTTTCATACAAGAAACCTAATTTTCATACTGCCCTTTTTGAGTTAGATATGATTTTATTGTAATACACTATTTAAAATCTAGAAAACGATATTAAATTTTATAATGTATGATTTGCAATTTTTGTTTGCCTGGATTAAAAACTATTTTAAATGTCAATTATTACATAACTTTTCTCTTTTTATATCTTGACTTTTGTTTAATGCACAGATAGCATCATCTTGAACAACACTGGTTCAACACTTTTCTTTATAGATCCAGACATTCCAGAATTGAATACATACAAATCAGTGTGAGTCCATTCACTTTCATAGAATGATAATCATAGCGTGGTTATATATATATAAAATTATTTTTATCTCTGTTTTTTCAATTTTCAATCTGAATGATTACAGGTTTTCAACCTGGCCTCATCCCATTAAAACACTGCCTCCTTCCAAGCAAGCCAATGAGCAAGACATTTTCCGAACTGGGAAAAAGATGACAATTGAGGAGTTAGGATATTTGGATCCCGACTTATATAAGGTATATAAAATGTTTTCTTTTTAATTATGTTCAATAAAAACGTTTTCAATTTTTATTAAGTTATTTCATTAAACTTATCTATTTAATAATTTGTCCCTGTGTTAATACAAATTTTTCAACATTCCACAGAATGATACATTTTTATGCAAAGCATCGATTAAGCGATACAATACGAAATATGAATGGTGGTACACGGCTTGCCCTACGTGCGCAAAACAAATGCATCAAGATCCAACAAGTGGTCAACTTATTTGCCAAAAACATCCAAGTCAGATTCCCACTCCATGGTAATAATTCTAACATTATTTCAAATTTTCTATTTTATGAATTGTTGCAAGTTTAGATTTCATTTATCAAACCAATAATCAATTAAATAGCATCAACTACAACCTGAAACCCAATCACTTCATTAATAATTGCAATTAGAATCAAGATTTGCTTTCTTCTGTTGTAGATATAGATGTTGTTAATAAGATTTGTAGCATTTCTTTACTATTAACTCCTTTCTCTTCAGGTTAGCATTAGTTCTTTTTCCTACAAGTCAGATCTGTGCTAATAATGTTGAGAACAATGCCTAAATTAGTTTAACTCTTCTCATTTTTATAATTAATTTTTCAACTATCTTCTCCAACTGCAAATTAGTTTGATAACATTTTGGTTTTTAGCGTTTATATAAAAGTATTTCATTTCAATCAAGATGTCATTGATCTTTTTACTCTTATTTTGTTCAACATTCAGTGTAAAAACTAGGAGTTACAAGTATTACATTTCATTCACCAAATCATTCATATATTAACCAACCTAGCCATGTCTGTGCTTTTGATATTGGTCAATTTGTTTCAGGTCATAATATTTGTTCAAACTCTTGACTTGCATGTATTTTTCAAGTTGTATACCTCTCAGTACTGGTCCAATGAAGAGCTAACAATATATCCTAAGTTAATTCAATGTCATTTTCACCAAATTTTATCATTACTACCATGCCTTAGTTTATTAAGTTTTGCACCCAACTTCCATCTAAAAAAAACCAACAGCATCTAATGCCTTCATTTATTTAGTTTAACTATCAGTTCAAATATCAAATAGTGTTTCAAATATTAGAAAAAGATATGTTATACAATCTGCAATTTCTCAACAGAGAAGCACAAAATACCATTCGAAGGTTCTGTTCTTTAAAATGTTATTGCTTCACTTAAAAAAAAAATTATATATATATATACGTATATGTATAGCTAATACAGGATAATTAGTATAAAATCATCCCTTTTCTCTGGCCTTTTCAATAACATATAAAGCTCTATACATTATGTTTTTAAATGAAGGTACAAAGTGTTCTTAGTTCTTGAAGATAAGACAGACGAGATCAGTGCTCTTATTATTGGCAGATCAGGTGAAAAAGTTTTTGGTGTACCCTGTAAAGATTTGGTTTTCAATCAGAGATCAGTGGATCAAAAACAGTTGCCAAGTGAGTTTCTTAGACTTATAGGGCAGAAAAAATTTTATCACCTTCGATTTGGAAGCAGAAGAAATTCATTGAACTCGAATGATCTTCTCATCTATAACATTTCTGAGGACATCACCATTCAACCAACAACTCCACAATCTCTAAGTAGAGAAGTTACAGTCTCTTCTACAGCAGTTTCATCTTCAAGCACACCTGTTGACATAATTACTGATTCACCTGTTGACATAATTACTGATTCACATAAAAGAAAAAGAGAATTAATTAGAAGAGCCCTTTTTGTACCATCTAAAACAAGGTTATACACTATATATCAATATTTTCAACTGTATCTCAAATTCAACTCAATACGGTCTATATTTATCTTTTTCATATCTTAAATATTTGTGATACAGTGAAGCAGAAGAAATATGTGAAATAGATGCACAAGATCAGGATCAAGTTCCAATCAAATTGTTCAAAAGAAAATCGTCACCAACCAGCTCAAAGGCAGACTTTGCTCCATACAAAAAAAACTAGGTAACTATAGTTTATTATTAATTGCTCCATGCTATGAATCTGTTCATCTCAAAAATTTATTACACATTTATTAACATTATCTTTCATTTTTAGCTTCCATTTTTTTCTCATGATGAAAACTATTTTTTCTGCAGTGACTGCTTCAACCAAAAAGCAAAAAACCTTTGCTCATGTCTTAAAGAATGTTGGCATCTGTAATCCAAAACAAACAACTATCAGTTTGACAATTTTTTGTGTGTAAATAGTCGATCCTCACATCAATTCCCCATACTCAGTGTGCTCTTTTACAATATTTTTTGTTCAAGTAGTCATGCCAGTAAACCACTAATTGTCAAAGGGGAATGCGAGGTAAATCATTTTTTGTATGCTGATGATAAGGCATTTGATAATGTCTTTTCTGTAAATTATATATACTTAGACAACTTTGTAAAAATATTTTGTCCATTTTGTATTTGATATTTATAACTCTTTGCATATCCTCTGATTCCTAATTCTCCACCACAAATTTATATTAATATCAAAACACTTCTAACCTTAATTTATAGTTACTGCAGTATATTCTATGTGCACATCATTTTCTTCTTCAGTTTCTGCTGTTTTTTGTTCTCTAAGTTATATATGTTACCAGTGTTCACAACTAAAATTGATTACACAGACTTGAACTACAGGTATAGTGCAAATTACATCACTTTCTGCCAACACTCTGCTTCTTTTTCTTACTATATTTTCTGTGTTTAAATAGTATGAACATACTAAAAACCTATTAATTACAAACTATCCATTACAAGTTTGCACTGGTTGTTTTCTTCTTTTATGTTCGGTAATTTTAAGATCCGCAGCAACGCGCGGACACCATTGCTAGTATTGACTAATTGTCAATTTATTGGCGGGACAACCTGTTACAAAACCAGTTCATAAATGTTCATGAGTACAACTTGTTCTTGCAAGAAAGGTACTCTACTTTGAGGTTCTAAGCGAGTGTTATGCATATATATAGAGATTGGATGTCTTGAGTTTGATGCATATCACAATACTGCTACCCTAGGCAGGGAAGGGATTTCTATTTTTTTCTTCAGAAAATGGGGATTATTGTGGCCCTGTGGGACCCATTCTGATTCGGACTACAACGATCCAAACTGATTACTTTGTAAGTCTTGATTCATAAATCATTTTTGAAACAATTCAATCCAAGACATTTTGCCCATTTAATTGTCATGCTGAAATTTTGATGTTTCTTAAAACACAATGTTTGATGCATATAACAATACTGCCGCACCATTTGCCTATTTAATTGTCAATTTGTCACGATAAAGTTTCAATGTTTTTTAGAACACAATGTTCGTCAATTTCTTTGAACTCAATTAGATGCCTTAATTATTTCTAATTTGGCTAATATTTTGCAACAATGATCTATAAGGTGCAAATTGAAAAATAGATGGTTCTTTTTGAAAAAAAGGGATCCTAAGACTTTGACTACTACACTAGTGTGAGTTTAATTTGTTGGTACCGTACTCATGAGTTTGTATAATGAACTTATGAATGCCATATACTGGTATTATATTTTAACTTTTCACCTTAACGAAGGAGTGTGATTTTTGTATGGTTCAATATATTAGTACTACGCTCATATTCTCCGACGTACTGTGGAAGTAAATATTGTGTTGTTTCATGGAAAAATAAATAAATAAGAATTTGGGTCCTTGTTTTTCCCACACTTTATTTTTAATTTAAAATTTACAGTGTCAAAGAAAATGACCAGAAAAATGTGATACACATGTTTTAGAAATTAGATTGACTTGGTATTGTGTTGTCCGCAGTTCCATGTTTTGCTGTTTTCTCGTGTGGCAATGACGGCAGATTCTTTTGTCTTTGCGGATTGAGTACTCGAAAACGAGGTTAAGTGTGCAAGGACATAGAAATATACGTTAGAAGTATGATGTGTTGGATTTATCCAATATAAATCGACTTTGATCTCTTAAAGACATCGATCCTATATAAGATGTCTTATATTGGAAATAAGATTGATGAAATCCTTAATTAAATATGATTATGATACTTGAATTGAAGGCTAATAAAGTAAGTCTAGGTTTCCTTTATGGATGGAAACCCTAACTTTTAGCCTATATAAAAACACCGGTCCCTATAGGCCCTAGGACACACAAAATAATGCTTCCCATAGAATAGTTGTATTCGGCTAGGTGTTTATAGAAGATTTTGGTGTTGCCGTGCTCTGCTACTTTTGTGTTCGACTTCCATGGCCACCATTGGAATCAAGTTAGTCACTCATTCATTTGTGTTTTAATTGTATAACCTTATATGGCTAACAACATGTTCATTGGCGGACCCATGTAGAGACTCTTGGTCTTGGAACCCTCTAAATGCTGAAAAAAAAAAGAAAAGAAAAAAGAAACTCATGTGGAGGCCATTCGGATGTCCGATCAAGATCTTTTTGTGCTCATAAAGTATTTGACGAAATGTTTAATAAAAATATCTCGACAACATTTGACGGATCGTGTTGACATCACCTGGCATGAGGTCTTGACCTCACTCAGCATATTACTTGGCATTTGTCTACATGAACACATATGACGATAAAATCCTAAAGTGTTTAACAAATTTCGTTATAAAAATTTTGCACGCCGCCCAAACAATTTATGTCTGAATAAAACCCGGGAGCACTGCACACATAAAATTTATCGCCTTGGCTACGCCTTTGATTATTTGCTTCTCTTTTTCCTCTTGTCGGATTCAATGTCATTTACCTTACTCGTCGAATACACCGCCTTAACAGAAACTTAACAATACTGCTACACTATTTGCCTATTTAATTGTCAAATTATCAGGATAATGTTTCAATGTTTTTTAGAACACAGTGTTTGTCAATTTCTTTGAACTCAATTAGATGCCTCAAATATTTCTAATTTGGCTAATATTTTGTAAGGATAATCTGTAAGGTACAACTTGAAAAATAGACAGTTCGGACCATTGAAGTTCAATGTGGTGTGGGCCATACAACCAATCTCCATTTTTTGAAAAAAAAGGGGATCCCAAGACTCTGACTACTAGACTAGTTTGAGTTTAATATGTTGGTACCCCACTCACGAGTTTGTATATTGAACTTATGAATCTTATATACTGGTATTTTATTTCAATTTTTCGCCCCAACGAAGGAGTGTGATTTTTGTATGGTTCAATATATTAGTATTACATTGACATTTTTTTACGTACCGTGGAAGTAAATATTGTGTGTCGTTTCATGAATCAATAAATAAATAAGAATTTGGGTCCTTGTTTCTCCCACTCTGTTTTTTTATTTAAAATTTACAATGTCAAAGAAAATGACCAGAAAAGTGTGATACACATGTTTTACAAAACAGATTGACTTGGTGTTGTGTTGTTCGCAATATTAACCATAGTCCAGTGAACAAAGCCCATGGTGCTACCTGTTCAATTGATCAAAACACCCATCACTCATCTAGCATCACCTCAATGGTACATTGACAGCAAGGCTTAGACAATTGTGCAGAGATAAGGATGAGCAAGGAGAATATTCTTATAGGGTTTCAAATGTAGTCATGTATATAAATACTATTGTTTTACTCTTTATGTTTTGAGCTTTAGGTCTTCCATTTCTTTCTTCTTCAAAGTTAGCAACATATCTTGTAATCAATTCAAACCATATACAAAGATGATTCTTTTCCTCAACTTGTAGTTTAAAATTTTGAAAAGTTTATCCAAAGCTCGTTTCAAGCTGCTTAGTTCCAAGCAAACTGCTCAATCTTCGCAGCTTAGCTTGAGGAGGAATATTAACCATAGTCTAGTGAACAAAGCCCATGGTGCTATACCTTGCCAAGACACTTGTTCAATTGATGAAAACACCCATCGCTCATTTAGCATCACCTCAACGGTTCATTGACAGCAAGCTTGGACAACTATGCATAGATAAGGATGAGTAAGAAGAATATTCTTATAGGGTTTCAAATGTAGTTGTTTGTACCATATTTGATCAATCCCGAAACTATTAAACACTGGTCAACATCATACATTCAAGGACCCACTGAGGGGTTCATGCTGAGGCACCCCTACAAAAGCACATTAGTTTCCCACCAACCAGGAGGCCAATCATAACACGACATATGTCAACGTCAAAATAAAACTCACAGAGTCCCACATCGACCTCGAACAAAAGCTAAAGACTTTCCTCAACTATAAAAGAAGATAATTCTCCTACAATTAATTCCTAATGTCATTATTGTACTTAAACTAGTCATTAGAACCCATTGATGATAACTATGCTTAAACTTATGTATGTGTAAACCCTTCACTATTAATGAGAACTCCCCTTCTCTGTGGACGTAGCCAGACTTAGGGTGAACCACATACATCTTATGTTTGCTTCCCTATCTCTATCTCCTTACATATTATCCTCACTAGGTGACCGGAGCAACCGAGCGAAGGTCACAAACTTGATACTTTACGTTGTTCCAAAGTCTTCACTGATTTTGTGCATCAACATTTGACGCCGTCTGTGGGAAGAAGACACTTATTCCTACTCTCTCCACCTCTATCAAGCTGGTTTCCATCGTTCGTACGCTCTCGTTCAATCAAGCATCAGTCTCCAACATGGGGTGAAATACCCGTAAGACTACGGGTACATACGCCGTACGATTTCTCATGGAAGGTTCAAATTCAAATAATGCAAGAGAATACTGATAGTGGTCCGGTGTAACCAACAACTACTAGTACCGGTAAACGGGTCGAATTCAGCCGAAGACATGGCCGCAAGATCCAGTTGAATTCAATCGCATTCTCGGCAGGTACAAGGCTTCCAAGGATGCTGCTGCCCCCGGTTTCCTAAAGAGAAGCTTCAGTTTATCTGATTTTTATGAGGCCAAGATGAAGAAATATGCTGACGGTGATGACGGTGATCACAGTGATGGTGGTGATGGTGATGATGATGATCATGTCGATCCCAAGCTTCAAAAACCGGGCAATAAGCACATTTCCGAAAATAAGTACCCAACATGGGATGCTCGAATTGACCTATTTTCAGAAGATGAATTGATTAAACTCATTACTTCTCTCGAAGCCAAGATACAGGCATCAACACTGGAGATTGATTCCATGGAAAGATATTATGCTGTGAAACAAAATCAAAATTTATCCCCAACTCACTCAAGCTCAAGCAAAACACCGCGACGCTTGAACCCTGCGTATTTTGATGTGCAGATGCCCCCCTCTCAGGACCCTGTAAATCCATTTATTCACGACGCATTAGGCCAAAAAGTTACTCATGAATTGGCCCAATGGGGTGGTTTTAATAAGAATCCGGCGTACTACTACTAGTACTACTACTTCAGTCATGGAATCGAAGAATCCGATGAAAACTACTTCTACTGCTAGTACTTCAGCCATGGAATTGAAGCCTCCATTGCCAGTGAAATGTCCAATGCTGCCGAGTGCGTGGCTTTTGAACACAGAATTACAGAAGAAGATTTAACTAAGGACACCATCTCGAATCCTTGGTTATCGAACTTCTAGTCTTCTGCTAATTTTTGGTTTGATTGGTTTAACTCTTGATTTACCGTTTGGCTATGAACAATGTTCGCCTTGCTATTGTTTTGTTTAGAGATTAGCAATTGCTTTGTAATTTTAATTTAATTAATTCATTGTTGGAAGGCGGTTACCTTGGTTATGCTTTCGTTCTTGATAAATTTATCTTGCACTCCTCCCTCTCTTATTTCACTACAAATTACAGTCTTGCTAGAAACAGAGGAAAATAAACCTAAAGGGTTCTCGAAAGAGGAAAATGAACATAATCTGCATAACCTTCATTAGGAAATTGTCAAAGGCCTATACGGAAGGCCCCACAAAGGCACCTTTCAGAACTAACTGTGTCCTCCTCTTGTAGCATCCCGACAAGCAGGAGCCCGACAAACAACCAAAGTGCGAACTCCTCGGGGAGCTGTGAGCTCGAGCCAGGGACCTTTCCCAACGAAATTCCTGCCCGAACACTTTCCTCTCTTATTTCACTAAAAATTACAGTCTTGCTAGAAAGAAAAGAAAAGAAACCTAAAGGTTCTCGAAAGAGGAAAATAAAAATAATCTGCATAACTTTCATTAGGAAATTGTCAAAGCCTGAGTCTTATCCTCCAATGGTGATCAAATATCTTGCCTCACCAAGTATATGGTGTGCCTCAATGCGAAGTAACACGTACAAATTCTCCTACAAAGGGTTCTGTTTTAGCAGCGAACAATCTAAGAATTTAAACATGTTATGTTATTATGCAACATAAGAAGTAAGAACTGGAGAGAGGACATGGATGTATGTTACTGGTTTGAAATACAACGCGCTTTGTATAAGTTGGCTATTAACCATGCTCATTTTGAAATACAACTCAGACGTACAATTTCGATTTCTGTTGGGGTGTCAATTAAACTCTTATAAACATATGGAAGAAGTTTTATTCGGATGTTGCCTGTCATGCCGCCGAATGTCTGTATTGATGCAGAGAAAAAGCGCTAATCAAAACTGACATTCTTGTTCTCATGAGTATACCGATTTTCTCACAATTTGTTCACTCAATAATTCCGCGTAAGAAATGAATATCTATGTTTCTTCTTGATTTCTGCAATTTGGTCAGTTAGTACTTAGCGAGGGCTTTTGGCAGTGGCTTTCCTTTCAGAAATGAGGTAAACAGAAGTAGTGATCTCTCTGGCTGCGAAATTGGAGCTTCATGGCCTGCTCCTCTTATGGTAGCGTAAGATAAAGCGTCACTGTATACTTGTGTCCATCCAGCAACCTGAAAACTTAAAAATTTATAAAGGATAACAACTGCTAAGGCCACAAGTAGATAATCCGATTTTTCCACTGTTATTATGTTCCCGAACCGACCTGTTTTTCTTGAACCCAGACTCTGTAAGGCACATTCGTTTGTAGCCCCAAGTCCTTTGCCAATCTGTTCGCCAGTGTCCGTGTACTCGTTAGTGGAATAACAGAATCTTGATCTCCACTGTGGAAAACATGTAAGATAAACTTTTCAGGACAATTTCTAAAAGACTACAATTATCGAAGATGGCAAGAGTTTTGATTTGTACAACGGTGAGACTCATCACCTGTAAATTAAAACCCGAATTCCAGACTTGACAAGGTCACCTAAAACTGGAAGCATCGGCACTTCCACGTTTTTCATGTCATACTTGAGGACACTTCCGATGTAAAAGAGGATAATCAAATTTAGAAGCACAGTAAACAGAAAAGACTTACTGCACAAGGAACATTTCTTCAATCTTTGAATAGTTTGGAGTATAATTGGAATTCTTTTCATGTTTTGATTCATCTTCAGAACCTACTACGTTTATGTGCATCAGTGATTCAAATGAGATGAGATGATTACTTGCTGCAAGTTGTCCAATTTGTGACTCGGGCATGAAGTGCCTCCTGTACATCTGGTCGGTTTAAGTATGAAACCGTTTCATCTGCGATACAGACATCTATCTTCGCTGTTTTTTGCTGCAGATGTGATCAGTGAGTTGGAAGTTTGTGTATTAACGTAGAGAATTTGAAAGAATTGAAAGGAGAAAATACCAAGGCTTACCAGTTGGAAAGATTGAGCTTCAACAGATGATAAACAGACATCGTGAGTAACGTCATATTGGTCAATCAAATATCCAGGGACTTCACTTTCAACTTGGGTCGCCACTGCATCACAAGCAGGGGTAAGTGGACCACCACGAATTCTCACCTGTCTAATAATTTCAGAATTGTTGCAGACTGAAGTCAAATTTTCAAAGGTCGCATCTGATATTAATCCATGAGACCACAAGTACTCCGCTTGTGCGTTGTTATCAGAATTGAATTCTAAAAGAGGATTGCCAATCTGCAAGCAAAAAAGGCTCAAGCGTGACATCTTAGTCGAAAACATCAACTCCAAAGTTACTTCACTTTTTCGATTCTCATTTGCTTACTGCTATTGCTTTCAGATTGAACTTCAGTTTTGATTGGATAATGAGTTGTGCAAGCTGTGGAACATAGTGGCCTGGCAGTGACAGAATGGAATTTTTTAGAAGCACGTCGTAAGTTTGTACCTTTCAAGTTTTCTAATTGGTCATTACTGATAGAAAATGATGGTGTTTACAAGTAAATGATGTTACCTGCATAGCTCTCTCCTGTGATAAAGAAATCCCTATTTTTATAGGCGGGGAATTCGTCGAACCAGCGCTGAAGGAACTCGATATTATCTCGTGCTAAAAAGAAGAGAATCGGAACATGATCAGAATGTAAATGTTTACTATTTTCAGGTTATATTTTGTTGGTTGAATGAGGATTGAGAAAGTCATGTGAACCGAAAACCTGTGATATCGTCGTTCACGAAGCCATAAAATGATTTGTTTGCTGAGTAGGAAAAGCCAACTCCTGCAGGTGACTCCAAGTACAGCATATTTGCTTCTGAAAAGATTAAACACGAGAAAATCCATCATCATTAGTATCAACATTTCGTGAATAATCCAGATCAGAAGCTCATTAACAATTACAGTGACACAAATGTGATCACTTAAAGAGTAATTTAATGGATTAATCACCTCTATTCCAACTAAAATCATTCTTGAGTAAAATGTCTCCGCTTGGTTGAAAAGGTCCGTTCTCGTTGAAAGCTCCAACTCCAACAGATGAACAACCAGGACCTTCAATTAAAAGTCACAAAGCTCAATTATTTGGTTCGTAATTGTCCTACGTAACACGCATTCAATATTGTATAAAATGTTGCAGACGCAAGCGTCACTAAGTTGGCTGAAACAGTATGAATAACAAAAACAAATAACACGTAAAATGTTTCCGGTAGGGATTATATTACTCGTTACGGATTTCGATGGAAGCTCACCTCCATTGAGCCAAAGAACAAGAGGCTTGGAAGCAGGATTAGTTTGTGCTTCAACAAAGTAGTAAAAAAGAGATCTCTCTTGCTTTTCATCCACAGTTACATATCCTGCATGTTGCTGGAAGTTGACTTGTGGTTGACCTGGCAACCTTGTGAATTTATCCGCTTCTTGGAGGGAGTTTGCCGTGGAAAACGCTTGGATGACAGTTGCAAAGACTGTGGCGACGATGACGATACTCCCTCGTCGAAGCTGCATCATGAGAGAGAGAGAGAGAGAGAGAGAGAGAGAGGGAGGGAGCTTTATATATGAATTGTGGTGTGGGATGATACAAGTATATAAAGATCATATCTCGATTTTATCTAGGCCTGGGCACGGTTCGGTACTGAGGTGGTACCAAAACCGAACCCATAGTAAAATTTCGGTACGGTATGAATGGTTGTACCGACTTAGTACAAACCTAATAGGTTCGGTTCGGTTCTGGGCCTTTAAGGAACAAGGCCTGTTTTAGTGTTTTTCAGTTTTTGTGAAAAAAAAGCCCAAATCAGTTTTTGGCACAAAATTAACAAAGTGCACATAGATGCAACAAAAATTGAGTTCTCCCTGCTGCTAGCCTGCTACATGACTAATCTGAGCATACAAAATTCAATCCAACAACAAAGTTCAAGTAAATGCCTTATGACATTAGTACAAACCAAAATGAAAAATCAAAGTTCAAGTCAAAGCCTTATGGCATTAATACAATCCAAAAGTAATAGCAAACATCAAACTAAATGCCTTAATAACTAATAAGTTCAATTCATATAAAATAAAAACAATTACCCCTTCGAGACGCAGCAAGGGTCCAACACCCACCCCGTACGTTTGATGAACAAGTAAGAACACAAATGCAGAACACAGAATCGAATCGATAGTATTTAGTTTGATGACCCGTACAGAATCCAAATTGAACCAGTTCTTTTCAATTGAAGCTAGACAGATTGGGATCATTTTCATCCCATTAATAAAAGCAATCGATACTATCATCCAATATGGCGATAGTAAAACAACGGAAGGATTACAATGTTAAAGACCCCCAATTTCAGAGAAACCCCCAATTCCAATCCCAATTACATTAGTGTTAAAGATCGAGGTTAACTACATCAAAACTACAAAATCCAGCAACAAGTTAAAACCCTAATCTTACAATTTCAGAGAAACCCTCGAATCCAATCACAATTTGAATCTAAAAATTAAAACCCTAATTTTATAAAATGCAAACAAATTCAAGAAATTGACTTACCATGAGAGAAGACGAAGTCACGATGGTTGCGGTGGAGGTGAGACCGTGAGAGAGATTGGAGAGGAGGAGGAGTGGACGGCCGGCGACTGAGAGAGACGGAGTGAGAAAAGTGACAGTCGGAAGAATTCAATTCTCAGATGACTGATTAGCATCGAGTGCGACGAGTGGCAACCAAGGACCAATGGGGATCCAGTGTGACCAAGTCCTTGTGAACTCGGATAAGCACCAATAGAAACAAGCCACGTGGATCACAATTTTAATTAAAAAATTAATTCGGTACGGTTCGGTATCAAGAACCGAAACCGAACCAAATAAGCACCGAACACAACCGATCTTGTACCCATACCGAATGAACCAAAAAACCCAAACCAACCGGGTTCGATACAGGTTCGATTCGATTCTCGATATTTTTTTGCCTAGCCCCAATTTTATCTGGTACCTGCTAGCTAAGTTGTGTTAAGACAAATTGATCAAGAACGTGTAAGACAAATTGTCCAAGAGCTCATGTATCCAACATACGTGTTATTTGGAATACTCATAAGATTATGGGTATATACGTCGTTTGATTTTTCATGTACGGTTCAGATTTAAATAATGTAAGAGAATACCGATAGTGGTCCAGTGTCACCAACAACTACTAGTACTGGTAAACGGGTGGAATTCGAATCGAATTTTATTTATAATTAGATTAACGGATTTGAATGTTATTCGGATCAACAGATTTGGATGCTATTTGAATAATCGGATCTGGATCAATCAGTCGGATCCTTATCGAATTATAATTTAAGGATCCGATCATCGGAGAGAGAAGAGTGAGCCGTGTTCTCTAGCGCGAGTCTCTAAAACTCAAAAACCAGAAGCGGAGAAAAAAAAATTACAGTTACAAACGCAACCCGTCCCCACACTTTCAGTTGGCAATCCACAACCGCAAAAAGCAATGAGAGTTAATTCCGGCGATGCCCTCAGCGGCGCCGCCACCAGTTCCTTCGCCACTGCAGCCGCCGCTTCTCGAGATGCCGAGTCCCTCTTCCGCTCCAAACCCATTTCCGAGATCCGCACCGTCGAGTCCACCACCCGCACCCAGATCCAGTCCAAGAAGGAGGAGCTCCGTCAACTCGTCGGCACCCGCTACCGGGATCTCATCGACTCAGCCGATTCCATCGTTCTCATGAAGCGCTCCTCCCACTCCATCTCCCAAAACCTCTCCTCCGTCCACGCCTCCATCAATTCCCTCTCCTCCACCTCCTCCGCCGACCCTCCCGATCCCTCCCGCCACGACCCGACCCGCCACCGCATCTACGGCATTGCCTGCCGAGTCAAGTACCTCGTTGACACTCCCGAGAACATCTGGGGCTGCCTCGACGAGTCCATGTTTCTCGAGTCCGCCGCGCGCTACGTCCGCGCCAGCCACGTGCACTCCATCCTCGCCCTCCCCGGTCAGGTGCGCTTCCTCTCCAACTTCCCTCTCCTTCAGCACCAGTGGCAGATCGTCGACAGCTTCAAGTCCCAGATCTCTCAGCGCGCCCGCGACCGCCTCTTCGATCGAGAGCTCCGATTGCCCATCTCCTCCTACGCCGACGCCTTGGCCGCCGTCGCTTTGATCGACGACCTCCGGCCCGAGTACGTCCTCTCCCTCTTCCTCGACAGTCGCAAGTCGTGGGTTTCCGGTATACTCAACGCTTGTCGTCCCGATGCTCAGTGCTCCGACGTCGTTTCAGTGCTGTGCGAGGCTCTGAGGGTGATTCAGGTGACTGTGGGGCAGGTTGGGGAGCTCTTCTTGCGCGTGTTGAACGACATGCCGTTGTTCTACAAGGTGGTGTTGGGTTGCCCTCCTGCATCCCAACTGTTCGGTGGAATTCCCAATCCAGATGAGGAGGTCAAGCTTTGGAATTCGTTTCGGGAGAAGCTCGAGTCCGCCATGGGAATGCTGGACAAGAATTACATTGCCAAGGCTTGTTGCTCATGGCTTAACGACTGCGGAGGCCAGATGGTGGATAGGATCAACGGGCGGTTCCTCATTGATGCAATTGGCAGTGGCCATGAGCTCGCCTCGGCTGAGAAATTGATTAGGGAGACGATGAACAGCAAAGAGGTATTAGAAGGGAGCTTGGAGTGGCTCAAGAACGTTTTCGGGTCTAACATTGACCTGCCATGGAGTAGAATGAGTGAACTTGTTCTCGGAGACGATTCAGATCTCTGGGACAGTATCTTCGAACCTGCATTTGTCGCCAGGATGAAGGTGATTGTGGCATACAGGTTCGAGGATCTCATGAAGGCGGTGAACATTAAGGATGGCGAACCCATTGATTTCCTTGGTGCTGGTGGTGGAGTTTGGTTTGTAGAAACCAAATCGAATAATGCTAAGAAAGGTACTACTAGTGCTTTGCCTTGTGAAGAGAATTGTCTCAATTTCTATTTTGGTCCTCAAGTGAGTGGAATTCGGGATGCCGTGGATAGTAGCTGTAAGGATGTTCTTGATGACATGCTGTGTTTCTTAGAATCGCCAAAGGCAGCTCCTAGGTTAAAGGATCTGGCACCGTATCTACAAGATAAGTGTTGCCTGACCATATCCAATATATTGGTGCAACTGACTAGTGAGCTTGATAATTTGGAAATTGGCAAAGACACGCAAGGGCCAATAACCGTTGACAGGGCACTTTTCATCGGGAGACTCCTGTTTGCATTGCAGAGCCACTCCAAACACATCCCCATTATTCTTGGCCCTCCAAGATCCTGGGTAAATGTAACAGGTTCTGTAGTTTTCGATAAGTTCCCTGCCATGTCAAGACAATCTAGAGCTCCCACGGATTCTCCAGTGCTTGATGGCCCCTCGGGTTCTAAAAGGCACACTTCATCTGCTACTGCTGCATTGCTTGGAGCCAGCCAAAGTGCAAGCCCTAAACTTGAAGAGCTTAATTCAACTATGAAAGATCTCCGCATCCGAGCGCATGGTTTGTGGATGTCGTGGTTGTCCGATGAGCTTTCAGTTATTCTTTCCCGTGATCTTCAAAAAGATTATGCTTTGTCATCATCAACACCTCTGAGGGTAAGGCACATTCAACACACTTTGCTCTCCGTTATTTCTTTCTTTATACGCTGTTTTCACATTTTAATCAGTATAAGTGAAATGAACTGCAATCTTACGTGATTAGTAATCAACAAGTTGTTGAATGCCAACAAGGAAGTGTAAATGATCCTTCATTTCATCTGTTTCCTGCTGAGAAATAAGTGAAACTAAATAGGTTTAAGTGTTTGAGTCTAAACAACCTAATCTTGATACTGCAAGCTTCTCTTGATTATTATAATATGACAGCTAGCCCGTAAGTAGCTATAATTGGAGATAATTGCAAAATAGACCTAATGCAAGATATAACTTTTTGATATAGCATGTCTAGAACGGTAAAGAAACATTCGCCACAAAAATTTTGTATGTAGTACAGTAGTAGTTACAACGTAGGACGAATGTTGTGGTTTAAATGAACAGTCCTGAAGAAGTAAATTATGTAGTATGATTTAAACTTGGTTTTAAATCAAGGCCATGGCTCTGCTGAACATATAAGTATGTGTAATTGTAAGTGCACATTTTATTAGTATTCTTGAAGAGCACTTGGTGTTCATCCATCTGCTTTTGAAGATATTTGGTGCTTATGCTATTTTTAAGACTGAGTGGATTTTCTGTTACGCTACGGTGTTTGTGGTCTGCTGAGTATGGTGTTGACTGAATATGAATTACCTATTCTTATTTTTTATTGTTTGGGCAGGGTTGGGAAGAGACTGTTGTTACGCAAGAGCAGTCTGATGATAACCAATCAGACATGAGAATATGGCTCCCATGCATGCCTTCTCTCTATATAGTCTCATTTCTATTTCGTATATGTGAAGAAGTTCATCGAATTGGAGGTCATGTTCTTGACAAAACAATTCTGCAAAAGTTTGCCTTAAGACTGTTGGAAAAGGTATGTAGCTTAGCTTGATATCTGACTTCGTATTTTCCGTATTCATCAATGTCTTGTTCATTTGTCCAATGAGTATATATGCATGACTACACTAAATTTTAAATCCAATCGATCCATGTTTCTCAAGCTTGAATGGGCTTACATGCTACTAGACCAACAGGTCATTGGCCGGCCATCATACATGATTTTTGTTTCTATTACAGTTTTCTGTATACCTTTTCGTGATTTTACTATTGCTTAGCCTGAAGATTATCTTCTTATCTTGCAACCTCAGGGATGTTTAGTATTGATTTTGGTTTTTATCAACTCGTGCAATTGTATTTTTGTGCCCTTGTGTATCAGTTTTAATAAAATTTACATCTTGTCACTTGTTGCATTGAACTTTATTACCTAATGAAGTAGTTTACGTTTTTTTCTGCCATTCACAGAAAATGTGTGTTTTGTATGTTCATTAAAAAAAAAAAAGGAAAATTTCCCAGTTGTTTCTTCAGATTATTGTTTTGATATATACTCTCAATTATTTTTCCTTGTTTCTGTAATATTGATTGCAATACTTTAATGTAGGTCATTGGTATTTATGGGGACTTCCTTTCTACAGTAGAGGCTGGTGGATCTCAAGTGTCAGAGAAAGGAGTTTTGCAAGTTCTGTTAGATTTGAGATTTGTTGTCGATGTCCTTTCTGGGGGTGATTCTAATCTGAGTGAGGAGTCATCTGTATACCTAAAGACAAAAAGTCCTTTCAGACGGAAGCAGGACCAAAGCCACGTGAAATCTGCCATTAGAGAGCGTTTTGATGGGTTGATAAATCGTCTTTCGCAAAGATTGGATCCCATAGACTGGCTTACGTAAGTTAATATATTCTCGTGAATAAAAAGTTAGAAATCTAAACAAATATATTGAGCTTCCAGAAGTGTGGACATGAGACTGGTGTCTCATTTCATGCATCTTTCACCCATATTGTTTCATTAAAGGGTTATCTCTGGTGGTTGTCTTCATAGAGAAATGAATATTCAGGAGTTAGAAGTTTTTCTCTTGCGTAGCTAGTCATGACGTTATGATCACAAGGGAAACTGAGGATTTGGATCATAAATAGAAAAGCATGGGAAATTAGGACAATGTATTCTATGGAACATAATTCAACTAGTGAATCATCTATAGTGGAACCACAGCTCTAGTGAGTTTTTATTATAGCATAGAATTCGTGCTTATAGTGGCTCTATGTTTTGAATTCTTATATTATTAATCATTTTGTATAACTATTTAGGCATTTTGACTTTGTGTATTTTATCACATTATCTCATTTTAAGGTATGAGCCGTATCTTTGGGAAAATGAGAAGCAGTCCTACCAACGCCATGCTGTCCTCTTTGGATTCTTTGTTCAACTTAATCGCATGTACACAGATACTGTTCAAAAACTTCCTACTAATTCGGAGTCCAATATCATGAGATGCTCTTCAGTTCCTCGCTTCAAATACCTTCCAATCAGGTTAGTGTTTCTTGAAATTTCTACTTTGTTAGTTGCTACATAATATGGTGTGCACAATTCGTGTTACTCTTGAGTCTACTCATATATCATTCATATACTGAACTGAATAAATTGGGTTGCACGGGCTGATTTGGTACATACGACTGTTTCTATTAGCATTTCCCAGTTTTAACTATGTCCAAAAATATTCATTGCCAATGGGTATCTTCCTCAATAATGGGTTCTAAGCTTTGACTTTATCTTGGTGTTCCAGTGCTCCAGCATTGTCTTCAAGAGGGACAGCTAAGGCATCCATTCCAACCTCTTCGGACGACATTTCTTCAAGAAGTCCCTGGAAAGCTTATACAAATGGAGAACTTTCCAGTAAGCTAGATTTGGACGATAACGCAAGTTTTTCTGCAGTGCCAATCTTTAATTCTTTAATGCAGGCAAGGCTGTCTATCTCTTTAGATTTTCTTGTTACAAGTTTTTCCTATTTCCATAGTTGCATTCTGAAAACTTCTGTTTCATGTTGGAATAGCGATGCATTTGTTGTTTGAAATGTGAATATTTCTGGTTCTGATGTTTTGGGGACACATAGTTAAAACATGTAACGCAAGACATTTTCTGTTCACACTATTACGTTTGATTATAACAAGTAAATTTTCTGGATAGTAATGAGATAAAAGAGCGTGTCAGGTCTGTAAGCAAGCATGGATTGCACACGGCATACCTCTTGTTTTTCTGATATTACCGCATGATTTATCTTTGCTAGGTTTCTGTGTATAGGAAATTAATACAGATAAACTGTTCCATTTGTTTGGGATATTGAGATATCCAGGTTGTGAAAATGATATTCGCTATGATTGGCAGGCTGGAAGTAAATTCGGAGAGAGCTTAAAACTAGGATCGATGCTAACGGATGGGCAAGTGGGCATATTTAAGGATAGATCAGCGGCCGCCATGTCATCAATTGGTGACATTCTACCTTCCCAGGCTGCAGGTCTTCTATCATCGTTCACAGCTTCCAGATCGTACTCTTGATTGCCTACAGAATCCTTCAGTCTCGTCTTCATTTGGGCACATATAAATAATCTATGGCTGTGAAGAGAAACAACGGAGTCTCACCAAGCATGAGATAATGGCTCGGAGATTGCAGTACTTAATTTGAAACCTGATAGAGGAGGTATGCAATTATGAAACCCTAAATTTTGGGATGAGTATCGGGTGGGAGATTAGGAAAGTTAAGATATGAGAGGTTGAGTAACCCTAGTTTGAAGCTTTGGGAGCTTTATTCTTTTCTAAATTTGATTCGTTTTTTAGCCGCCATAGTTTTTTGTTGGCATCTATTGTTATAAACGTCGATTCTTTTGTGTGTTTAGATTTCCCCTTTGGGTGAAATTTGTGTTTCCGCTTGTCTTCAACATTGTTCGTAGTTTGGGGTTTGGCTTTTAAAGTTGGCTGTTAGTGTTCCGAAAGACTTAAGAGGAGGCTTAACGTAAGCATATCTCCCGCGTATGGGTGAGCCATCCTTATGTAAGGAGGAGAGGTAGCTGAAAGTATGGTCCATTTGTTTCTTCAATGCCCGTCTACTGTCCAGTCCAAGGCTTCAGCTCAATTTATCTATGGAAGTTAACGCAATACTGAAGGAATTGGAGATGAGAACGACTCGGGTATCATGTCGACTTGGACGACGAGGATGCACGATATTGTTCGTGTTAAAATTCAACCATTCTCTACCAAACTGGAACTCTGTTATGTAATTTTGTGTGTATAAATACTCTTAACATGTATTACATAGGAGCCTTACATAAATGAATTTATGATTTTCTGATTGTTACGTAGCTCTTTTGTTTTTGCAAAAAACTTTGGGGATATATGGTGCGTCATTACATTCAACTTCAACCAAGGACAAAATATAATTGATTCGGTTTGACACGAAAAATATAATCGAACCAACTAGCATAAAACGGTTTGGTCCAGATATAACCAATACTAGTATTAAAACCAAACCAAACCAAATCAAATCATTGTTAATCAGTTTTGTTCCGTTAATTTAAGCCTATGCGTCCGACATTTTTAAAGGGTTAATTTTGTAAACATCTAAGAGAAATTGTTTGTATTGATTGGTGGTAGAAAATGAAATGCGCATATCAATACAAGAAACTGGAGCCTGTGACAATTTCTCGTCTAAATCAAGCAAAGCATCTGCACAAAAGCATTAGATACAACTAATTTCTCGGTCTGAAACAGACAGCATCCATTCCATGCTTCAGAAATTGATCGACAGAAAACCGCAACTTCTCCAAGAGACACGAATGATTAACGAAAGCATTTGAAACGAAAAGATGGAACTCGAGAAAATTAGTCCGAGCAAAATTGACAAAAGTCAGTTGCATGCATTTAACAGTTGCTAGTTTAGTTAGTCCAAATAAACAAGCTTAGAAACTACTGTTAACTGTATTCGGTGTTCATCTCTATAGCTTACAAGATTCAGAAGTTAATTCAAAATGCAGAAACAGATAGATCCAAGTGCTGCAGCCTGCAGCAGCTAAGTTGCACGGAGAGGGATTGGCTTCACCGCACTTTGGATTCGACGAAATGCTGTTTTTACTCTTTCCTTGAGACCTTCGTTTTCACTCTCTACATCCCCGCTCTGTTTATCAAGCTGCGCCACATTCCCATCAACACTAATCACTAGTTTCCCGTTTTCTCCAGGCTTCACGTCGCCAAAGAGTGAAACAAGAAGTGCATGGATAACCTTTTCTGCCTTCTTCACATTCTCTTCCTCAGTTTTTATATCCTCTGATTCAACAACTACCTTGGGGACTTCTCGATTGATATTCAGAATAAGAGCAACAACTGAGTCTGACACCATGTCACTTATAGGATCCGACGCCCAATGCAGTGATATGTGTTTATCTGTATCCTGCTTCAAAGTCACCCGATCATGCACTCGCAGTGTTGGCACTCCAGATTCCTCATCCACTGAAGACTCTACACTCTCGTATATTTGCTTAAGCCGATGCTTTATCACAGTGAAGCCACTAGCATATGGAATAGTAATCCGTTGAGTGACATTTGCTGTGGACAGCTGTGAGAAGACATGAAGATCATCGGAAGCCATTATTTGATAACTGAAGCCTTTTTTTACCAGTAAACCGCTGACACTTTCACCCACTTCAGGGGTCTTCTCAGCAAGCCTTCCAATAGCTTTTGCCATTTTCTGGGAGTTAAAATACATTTCAACAGACTGACAATTCTTTGGGGTCAGGATTTTGGTGTTCCGATCAGCAAACTGGGTCACGAGCTTCTGTTTTAGCCTTCCCATCTCATTGGCTTCTCCATGAACTAGGATTATGTTAGGAGGCCTCAGCTCTTCCAAAAATGCACTAGTCTGAACAGAGTCTGCGTGGGCAGAGAATGAAATGTAATGCACCTGCATGTTGAGAGGTACCGAGAGTCCAGTCATACTAGTTACCTCTTTTGGTTCATTGATGATGGTTTTGGCTAGAGTCCCTTCTACCACATAACCTGGAATAACACATGAATTTTTCTTATCAGTGCACCATTTATCGAAGAGCTGCCTTGACAGTCCACTCTGAAGACCACCAGGGCTTGCCATCACCACCGATGGACCTACATCCTTGAGATTCTCAATGCTCTTGAGTGGTGATATGTGCTTGAAAATGAAAGGATTTGACTTTGCATTGCGGATCCTATCGTTCATAGAAAGGGTGTATGTCTCATATACAGACAAACATCTTTTGGCAAGTGGGGAAGCATAATAAATAGGAATATTGTGGAGCTCAGGATGGTTTGACCAATACTCATCAAGGATCAGGAGAAGTTCTTGGGCACGACCAAGTGCAAATACAGGAATCAAGACACGACCCCCTTGAGCGACGGTTGTGTGGATAACATCAGTGAACCGCTTCTCACGGATGTGCCGAGGTTGATGGTGCTGGACACCATAAGTGGATTCAATAATGCACACATCAGGGGAGAACTCTGGGGTCTCAGCAGCACGGAGATGCCGGTCTTCTTCACGTGAATAATCTCCAGTATATAAAACTCTAACACCAGCTATATCAACCATAAACATGGCAGCACCAAGGACATGACCGGCAGTGTAGCACCAAAATCGAATGCCCTCAACCTCTACCGTCTGATGGAAATCAATAACCTACAATTATCATGCATTGTTAATATTAATATTATTGTGAGAATATCATTCATGTCTTGTTGAGTTTAAACGATTAAGGATCCAATAACTGTATTCATGTTAAGCGTGCAGAATAGGATAAATGGATAATGATGTAAAAATGGTGAGGACTGAGAGTTCATCAGTGACCACAAATATTAATCAAGTCAAAGTACTAATATCACCAACCGCACTGTCCCCAACCGCAATATTAATTAAGTAAAAAAATGCCGACTGAAATGCATCTAAACATATATCCCCTATGAGACACATAAACTAATAGTTCTATGGTTCAAAGTTCAAACCTGCATCGTCGAGAACAACATAACTCAAATTTATGTAAATCTATGATAAGATGGTTATGTTGGAGACAAAACAGGTGGGGATGAAAACATAAGTCATGGGAGAACAACAAACCTCAATTTTATCCATCGAGGAATTTATGTCTTGCTCATCAAACAACATATCTTCAACTGAAACTTTGCTCACTTTTATATAATCCGTCAAAAGCAACTTGTAGATAGCCTTTGTAGCATAAGTCATAAAAACGCGGCCTTTGAATGTGGTCTATCAAAATTTACAGAGATATTAGTCCTGTGGAGAACATAACACATACAAATTATTGTACAAATCATTCAAAAAGTGAAAACCTTCTCAAGAAAGTAAGGTAGGGATGCAGCATGATCCAAGTGAAAGCTGCAAGCAAAAAGTATGACGTAATATTAGTATAATTGAATGAACAATCGCAAGTAATAACTTTTACTGTACAAACTAATAGGTTTTACCCAGTAGATTAGGACAGTTTTGCACATTAAATCAACTTGATAAAACTTTTTTCTGAGATCTTGGTTTGTTCTATCTATGGTTTGTCCTAGATCACTTTGGTGTGGAAACTCTTTATTGCCAAAACGTGGTATTGAGGATTTAGGTCTGTAAATTTGGTATTTGAGCTACTTTTCCAACATTAGATACAATCTTTTCAACTGATAAGAAAATCAAGGAAATAAGCACAAAATAGTCCCCAAAAAATGTTTAATACTTTATATGTTAAAAACCATTTTTTAGTCAGAGAAAAATTTGATCCCATGTAAGCAGCTCTCCTATTAGAATTTATTGCTCCTAACTCTAAATAAGAAATACAGAACGAAAGGGAGGTAAAGTCCGTTGCACTCAAGTTTCAACCACAGTAAACACATAACAAATTACGAAATTTCTCAACCCAATGTGCCATGTCTGATATAATTTAGCAACAGCTTTCAACAAAAGCTCCAAACTTTGTATGTCAATTGACTATCAATCAATTGATAAAACAAAAAACACTCTAAACAACGATAAATACATACTGGGTTACGAGGAGGACATCAATTGTGGAAGGATCAATCTCATCAAAGTATGGCAAGGCAGCCATGCCCGAATAAGCAGGGTGAATTCCACAATCAAACTATCATTCATACGAAGGCAGCCACACAGCCACAAGTGCAAGAAACAAGAAAAAAAATAAAAAAAAACAAAGTCAGGAGAGTGAACAAGATTAAATCCAGATTCAACACTCAAAGAAACAACAATGCATTTGTGTGAATGGAAGCATACCATGACAGTTTTCCCCTTGAAGGTCATGTGCACGCAAGAGCGGCCGACTTCATTACCAGCACCGAGTGGAGTAATGATCATTTTATCATCTTCTCTTGATGCTGCAGGAGCCTCCCGCCGCTTAAGAGGCGGCAGCGGCGGGGGTTGTCCCATTGAAGCCATTTTTACCTAGAATGTGTGAAGCTCTGCAAAATGATACGTAAATGAATCAAAAGACTTTAAATTTCCAACCAAAAGTCACATTTTCTTGATTACCCATTTTTTTTCAGACCCTAATTCGAATTTACCCCATGTAAAATTCAATAAAAATTGAAATCATAGCTGAATTGAAGAGGAAAAGCAAAGAACATCATATAATAATACCCAGAAGAGAAAATCTTCGAGTTCTTACCTAAGATTTCAGATAAAGAAGAAGGAAGAGACAGAGAGGGCTACAAGAATTTCTGAGAATGCCTAAAACCCTAGAGAGAGAAAGGGAGGGAGTATAAAGTAAATGGAAAAAAAAAATATTTAAAAAAAAGAAGAAGGAAACGACCACAGTGGGAGTCGAACCCACGACCTTCTGATCCGAAGTCAGACGCGCTAATCCACTGCGCTATGCGGTCATCTGAAAGAAAACTGCTGAAAAGAGGATTTTATATTCAAATATTCAACAAGCTACCTTTATAACTGGTCTGTGATGCTATCTCTACCTCTTTTAACCTTTTACACACTCCCCTCAAATTTCTGCCATTGGATCAAATAAACTGAAAAAGATCAATATGACATAAAATAAAAGGGGGTGTTTGAGACGTAAAAAGGATATGTGATGCGAGAATTATACGCGCACAAATTAAACCCTCTTTTTGACAATTGTAGTATGGATGTAAGTAGGGATCGTTCTGGACCGGGGATTAGGAGGGCTTGCTAAATCCGTCTAAATTGACTTAAGAACGTAAAAACAATATAAAATACTAAACTAGACTCAAATAATGTAAAACTAAAATTTAAAACATTAAGACAAACCAAAAGACTCAAAACTAATTTTGGACGAATTTAAGATTATGGCTTGATTCAAACTACTTTAAAAACACAAACTAAACAGATTCTAAGCACTAAAGAACAAGAAAGTAAAGGGGGGGGAAAAGTTTTGATTTGACGAAAATTGAAATAACAAAACAAGTTAATAAACTGAGCGGAATGTAAATATGAAATTGTGATGGAATGAATGGAATGAAGGCTAGCTAAGGGGTTCTTCTCCACACATGTTATACTTGCATACAAGATTGATTCTCAGTTGGTCTTTCGATAAATTATGAAACTCAACACTCCGGATTAATTAGGTCCGCTTAAATTAACCGTCAAGTTTTCCTTAAGTTAATGAATTGGATGGGTTTGCGCAACGCAATTCACAACATTCTCCAAAAGTCCTTTACGTGAACAGCACAATAAAGATACAATCAAAGATCATTAAGCATTATGAAAACTATAAGTGTTGACGAGGCATTCGTTACTATGATGAGCATGAAACTCGTGCCAAGAATATGTTTAACACGATTGTTTATAAGCAACCTCCACTACTTGTGAATATAAGTTCATAACGATTAGGTGAAATTCACTTATATTCTAGCATCATATTTATGCATGAAAATTAAGCACGCATTCTTAATAAACATTCATAAATAAGCTATCAATCAAACGGTTAAACAAATTGAATCCACAACTTATGAAATTCCAACGAAAGTTAATCAATTCATATTGCAAATATAAACATAGTTTCGAATCACCCCCTACCTAAAGGGGGTTTAGTTCCTCATAACTTTGAAATCAAAGAAACACCTAAACATTCCAACAACTCAAAACTTGAATTGTATGAACGTTTAAGCACTCTTCTCTTCCATACATACAAAACAAAGAGAATTAAAATGAAACTTTGAAATCAAAGAAACACCTAAACATTCCAACAACTCAAACTTGAATTGTGTGAACGTTTAGGCACTCTTCTCTTCCTCGTTGTTGTAGCACAAGGTTTAAGGGATGTTGTTGGTGTGTTAAATGGATTGGGGAATTTATGGAAATGGAAGAAATGGAGGAGAAATGGAAGGGAAACTCACGGCCAAAGGGGGAAGAATGGATGATTTTGAAGAGTGTTGTGTTGTGAATGAGATGATTTTAATGAATGGGAATGCAAGGGTATTTATAGGAGGAGTGGAGGGAACATATGGATGTTTGTTTAAGCATTTGTGTGGAGGAATGATGGAAAAACAGCTAGGACACATGTGAAAACTGAATTGCACAAGGGAAACAAAGGGAACCCACGGCATGGATGGATTTGTGCATGTGTTGGCTGATTTGTTTGTTGGGGAAGCATGTGTTTGCATGTGGATGTTGTTTGTGTGAAGTGTGTGTGAATGCATGTGGATTAAAGAATAAATGGTGGTTGAAATGATGAAGTAGGAATGTGGAGATGCATGTGAAATGAAAAGGGAAAAACTGGAAATGCTCAAGGAATGCACGGCATTGATTGTTTGTTTGATGATGATGCATGTGTTGAATGATTAAGATTGTGGAAATGCAAGGGAATGCACGGTTTAGGCTTGAAGAAAAGGTGTGTGAATGGGGTAATTGAATGATTAAAGTGCATGTGAGTTAGATATTTAAAGGATGGAATGCATGTGAACTAAGTTGGAAAGTTGGAATGATGAAGTGGGAGTGCACGGCATTGATTGTAGTTGGTGTGTTGATGCATGTGATGGGTGGGAACAAAGGGGGAAACATGGCACAAGGGTGATGTTGTTGATGTGTGAATGCATGTGTTGAATTGGTGGTGAAATGATGAAAGAATGAATAAAGAATGCATGTAGGGTTAGCTAGGAAAGTGGGAATGTGGTTGAATGATTAAAGGGACATGCATGTGGCTTGTTTGATTGCTTGGTGAGATGATGCACGGCACAAAGGGGTGTGTGTCATTGCATGTGTGTGTGAGTGGTGGTAGTGGGGTGAATTATAATGAATGCATATGGAATAAAGATGGAGAAGGTGGTGTAATGATGCATGCTTGTAGTTTAGGGTGTTGAATATGGATTTGCATGGCTTTTGAATTGATTGTGGGCTTTGGAATTGGAAGGAAATGCATGGCAAAGGGCTTGGTTTAAGAGAGAATGGGCTAGGCCCTTTGTTATATGTCCAAAGTGAATACAAGGCCTTCAAATTCGTCCAACATTTTGGCTCCAATCATATGTCATCCATTCCAAGCCCAAATTTGCTCCAAAATGCTCCAAAATGCATCTTTTTTCTTCCTTAAGCCCTTAGAACCTGAAAACACACAAAAGAAGCATAAAGGACTAAAATAACTAGAGAAACATAATGTAAATGCACGAGAACAAGCCATTTAAGTCGCATGAATATGCTCCTATCAATATGTAAATCATTGTTCTTCGGATGCTTTAATAAAATGTGTTACAAGATCAAATTGGGTTCGACTTCGATGCCCATCTAGTGCTCATAGCATGGAAGAATTTTCCGATGAAAATAGTTGGTTTTGCTAAACATATGAGTTAGAAGCCTTTTTTGTTTATTTTTTTTCATCAATCTCCGCTAAGAGAATCATCAGAACTTACTAGTAACGCAAATGGTGATTATATATGTAATAAATCATAAGCAAATTAATTATACTATATCACATGTTCCAGTACCATACAATAATATTCTAATCAGCAATTGACCATCTCGAAGTGCTGAATATAATTCATGACATCATAAAGACATGTTCGGATGACACTGTACAACATCACCATTAAGGTTTTAGATTTAAAGACTACATCCACACTGTACATCATATGTTGGTGCCTTGACTCCCAAGTTACAATTTCAACTGGTTATGTTGTTAGGGCATCCGGAAGACTGGTGGGGGCTCCCATTATTTTACCACCAACATCAGGAAACGATTCGTATCCAGGCAACGAACTTACTCGTCCATCTCTCCCAATCTGAACTGGGTATGTCATCAAGTGTCCCTTCATCTCCCTATGCTCTTCAGACACAAATGCTTTCCAGTTAAGCTTCGCGATGTCGTTAACACGCTTCACGCATTCAAGGCTCTCGGGGTCTTGATAAGTATCCTCAACTCCGCCCAGGTGCTCAGCCCACAATGACATCCGATAACCATATACCTGCATCCGTCCAAAGACATCGAATAACATAAGCAGACACCGAAAAGATTTGGAGAATATGTTGCTTTTCCGATTACATATACGGTGTTTTGTTACATTGTGTTCGTCCTTTTAGATTGCAACAAGTATGAAAGAATTTGATGTAATGGAAGGGTTTCGGACCTGGCCGTGTGGATGAAGGTTTTTTTCTGCAGCCCATGTATGGTGTGGTTGGTAAGCCCCCATAGCAATTTCTGTGTCCCTTGAACCGTCCATTGATCTTTGGTTAATGTTTGCAGATCCCATGATTACATACTCATCATCAACTATCATCCCTTTGGCATGAACATAAATCATAAACCGCCGGAACTTTTGCGCTAACAACTGTTAACAAGAGAGAAAAAAGTTAAGGACATAGCAAATTGTTTGATGTGAGATCCATCAGAGTCTGTCAAACGTATTTCGTATTGTGCAATGGTAAATTGACTACTAGCTGGTTTACCAGAATGAAAACACAAGTATACCAGTCCACGATTATCGGTTGGCTGATGAGGTTGGGATGAAGATGGAGCCTCACGGTTACCGAGGCAGTAAAAGTTCAAATAATCCTGCGGATGATACTGATCGAAAAGGCCTGCATCTTGAAGGGCACTTGTAACAACCTGGTACATCATACCCATTGTCTGCGCCTGTGGTGACCAGCAGAACATGACGCAGATTAAAAGTTTCTATAAACTTCAAATTAAGCTCAAGAAAATGGAAATAAGAAATCACAGTTCTCCCCCCGGTGTGTCTTCCAGAGCTGTAATCTTTACACACTAAGTAAGCAAGCTTTGGTTGGCTCTATTAACTCAAGAACTCAACAAGCTGGGAAGCCTACCATAATGTTTATCAACTTAAATGCAGTTTTGAAAGTTCTAAATTCATTCTTTGCAAGCATTCAAAAAGTCCAGGCCCGAGTAGTATCAAACTTTCATGCTTGTTTCTGGGAATTGGGAAGGTTATAATTGTAACAACAGTTAGACGTAAAAGCTTAAGTTGTTAGGCAATGGCCAAATCTCCCACGCATAGAGATTTGGCCAAATGAATGCAGATAGAGAGATTTATAGGTGCAGTCCCATAAGTGGGCATTGGAGGTTTCAGACTCATGGCAACCAGAGCTCTGATACCAAGTTAGAAAACCACTAGAGCTCAAAATCTTAAGTTGTTACGGAAAATGCTAGCAACGTCTATCAAGCTAACAAAAGTTAGTATATCAGTCAACGCAGACAAAGTTTGAACCTTTCTTCTTCCCAGTAAATCTTACATTACAGAAGTGGGGAATTTTACAAAAGTTGTAACACAGAAAAATTATGACTTCAGTACTTGGCTTGGAAATTTCTTATAGGCAGGACTCCGGAGTCATACACAAACTGATCAGACAAAGATCACTCGCAAAGAAAAGGCGAAATAACAACTGAGTTCTAGCATTCATTACATCCCAATTTATCCACACACAAGAAAGTATGGTTGAGAAATTCCCTTATTACACATTTTAAAAAGGTCAAGAGAATAAAGAGTTCCTTGTAGCGTAACAGAAGACAGAATGGTCTAACCTGCCAGTATAAAATTTCCTGAGTAGCAGAGGCAGTTGGGACACCCTCTGGCCACATAGGTACTACTATATACACCGAGAAACGCTCATTTGCTTTGATTTTGCTGGCAACTTTTAGGGCCAGTTCCATCGGTATCAAGTTATCTGCACCTGTGGTGGTGATATTGCAAAGTATGAAAAAGAGAGAGCAAAATTGAGAGCCAAAGGGCATTTGTTAACATGTTAGTTGACGAAAGTGTAACCCTGGCAACACCAGAAACTAAGCTGTAACTTACCTGCATTTTTGTACGACGGCCAGTAGAATGAAGATCCAACAAAGTACTGATTCTCTATGTATATAAAGCGTTGAGCTGATCGTATAGCTTTAATATATGCAACATGGATGCTCTTATCTATTTTCAAATTCTTTCCACAAATAAGATTCTGCAAGAAGTGAAAGTCAGATTAAAAGAGTTTTATTTGTGGGTTTGACCTCTCAGTTTATGATCAGTGAACAAAAACCCGTTAGAAGCTCCTAATTAACTAGATGGTTAAGACACTAATTTTCGGTAAAGTAAATAAGTGAGAAAAAACTGTGAGGATTATAAACGAATTACATAAACCTAGTTCTAACCTGCGCTTCAGCATCCTGGACGCCCTTCGGAAATCCCTTTACAGATCCTGAGTCAATGGACCTGAATACCTATCAAAGAAGAGTCAAAACTGACCACCATCTGTGTAAAAGTTTCATTGAAACGAGTTGCAGTATTAAGCTGTTATCATTGAAACTTTTCCTTCCCTACCTGAACATGCCAGTTCTCACGATCTTCTTCACTGCTAACACGTACATTTTGTTCACCATCACGATTAGAAGTTGGAGAGACTATCCATGAAACTCGGTCAAGCCTTATCAAGGCATCATCATGTCTATTAGTGACCTTTTTTATCTTGAAGTCGCGCTTTTTTGCCTTTCTCCATCTTTGTTCAAAATTTGTCAATATATCATATGCAGCAGGACCCTCAATTTTACAGTGTAAATCATGCCATGGTTCCCTTGGGCCATGATCGTTAGGCTGTACTTGTTACAACAAATAGAACTGTCAAAACCGTATATTTATACTTATTTACTGTTTGAACTTTCAACAAAAGGAGACCCTTAGGAAGTTGAAAAGTAAAGAGATGCACATTGAACCAAACATCACTAGTAGCAAAAAGATATGATAAATATATTAATACATTAAACCTTGGTTGTAACTTCATAAATATAAACAAAACAAAAAAAAGAAGCGAAAAGCATACTATATTTATACCATAAATATAAGCATACTATTGAGCAAAAAATGTACAGATTTCTCCGTGTCGTAACAGAGTTGAAAAGGAGAGAAGAATAAAGAAAACTGCTTCAGTACATATCATATCATACATTGATCTCAAGAATGTAGACAGTTGTATAGAGGTGCTATCGCTACTTACAGGGAATGTAGGATTATGAATATCATTTTGAAAGATTGAGCCGACATCTTTAAAGAGCCTGTGCTCCGGAGTGTCATATCTTCCGTCACACATATCCAGGCCACCAATGAAAGCGGTTATTTTCCGATTATTCCCAGAAGCTGTGTCAAGAAGCACACATTTCTGATGATGCGTAAAAAGGGTTCCCACAACCTGGACTAGAGGAATCCATTTAAATGAGCAACTGAAATTACACGACGCTATAGGATATGTATCATTCCAGTAACAACATGGGTTTAGCTCTAAAATGCAGATGTTCCATACCTGTTGCTTGAAAATACTAAGCTTATTGCTCGCATAACGAGGAGAAAGAACACAATGAACACTGGAATGTTTGAAAAACCTTTTGGTTTCCTCGTCATGGGTCTGCATGACGCCTTCCTGCAATGAAACGATCATCAATAAAATGCATTCTAATAGTAATAACATTTAATATTTGTAACTTTCAGGTCTCATGGAATTACCGTTTTCAAAAATAATTTGTCATGTGAAGTTTTATCATCCCAGATCAGCATGACAACGCGAATCCCTTCTTGTGACTTGTACTTCAACAACTCCCCAAGCGCCAGCTCTCCTCCAGAAGGTAGCGGCTTTGTTGGCTCCCTTACAAGCTTAACACGGTGGTACACTGACCAGCCTATAATATATATAAGGTGCTGAGCTTCCAAGATGGCATGACATATGTCTTCCCAGCACTTACCTTGCTGAAAAATTTTCCCTCCGTCCAGTACAATTTCAGGCAGCATATTGTTAGGTACATGAGCATCTTGATATAAAGTGACACTCCCTCCTTTGCGAAGGGGAAAATATGTATTAGGAACTCCTTTATAGTCGGGCCCAGCGCCAACACCATTCTTATACAACGGGTTACCTTCAACTGGCTTAAACTGAATAGAAACATGCAGTTCAGGAAAAGGTTTTAAACAGTTCCCATGATTGCCAATAATCGGAAACCAATCATTAAGTGGCTTTCCCGAAATGATTTTATCAACAGATATCTCCACTACTCCAATAAGTTCTGCTCCAAGAACATCGTTATCTTTGACATGAAACTCCACCTTCACAACAGGGTGAGCAACAGGTACGCAAAAATGTTCTTCCCACGAAGGATTCTCGCAGTTTGAAATTATTCTGGTTTGAGCAACAGTTGCTCCGGCTAGGCAAACAGACACATAAGGATCACTTGTAATCATTGCCTGCTTTCCCGAAGCTGTTTTAGTTGGCCTATTACCGAAGGGAGTAGAGCAAGTCCCAAACATGGTGAAACACCGTCTCATTCTTTCTGAAGGTAAATCCATATTTGGAAGAGCTTTAGCTTCTATAATCCACAAATCCAGTTCACCATGCAAGATAATATGTTCTTTAGGACTCCCATCCTCACTGCCGTCGTTACCCATTTTGACATGTGAACGTGAGAAAGGAAATGATTTTGTAGTTTCCTATCTAGCAACTATGAAGTTGTCTCACAACTGCTAACTGTATCCCATTATATCATCAATCAAAATCTGAGATAATTGTAAGAATAACAACTTATAATAGAGAACTCCTCCTCCCGGGAGTCTAAAAGAATCGGTTAGTGACTTAAGTATGACACATCTGGAATGAAAGCGCAAGAACTGCAGTAAACTCATACACAAGCACAAATCTTCAGCATAATCAAGCATCTAGGCAATTTAAAGCATGATTTCCTCATCCGCGTATCTGTCTGACAATCAAGCAATTAGGCAATTTTGGAGCATGATTTAAGAATGTCCCCTGATAATATCGGAAATGAGAACTACGTTAGATCAGACAAAACATTTCCTCAGCATAGACGCATGTTTCATACACATACGAACAGTTTGAAAACTACAAAAGAGTGAAATGCATTACAGACAGGCACATAGATGTTACCTTAACGATCTCGATCAATGACCAGAAGCAAGTGAACCATCTCAATATTCAAACATCAAGCTTCCCAGTAAATTATTAAACAAACTGAACTATCAAATATTGTAGATGCAAGAAATATACTTTTGCTTTCTGATTGCGGCAAAAATAAGATAAATTGTACTGAAACGAAAGACTTTCAATGTCAACACAAGAGGTATACTAACTGAACAATTTGTCAGGTCAGGTTCGGATAATTTTGGTATTAAATCATTGAGTATTTGGTCTAAACTGAGGCCTAAAACACATAGCTGCATCCGAAAAGTCCTACTATATCGTTCTTTAAACGGGACACCATCATAAGCAAAATTCATGTTATTCTAGGTTTGGACACGTGAATCGAGGACCTACTGATGATTCGGTTAGACAATGCGACTATGAGACGGCAACTCCAGGAAAAAGGGTAGAGGAAGGCCTAGGAAAACTTGAAAAGAGACTCAAAAGATACTGGGATAAGACTTGGTTGTTGTTGTTGTATAATTAGGTTCAGGTTTACAGTTTTAATGGCATGATTGCTGCCCAGTTATTTGCCCGATTCGATTATTAAGAAATAAAGTTTTAAAATTGTTTTCTTTTTCTTTTGTTCTTCTTGACAAATTCTTGAAATATTTAATTCTATATTTTGTATTAAAGTTTCCTTTACCAATCAAATTTATACATATCCAATGTGAAGCATGCCAAACATTAAAAGATGACAAATTCATATATATATATATATATATATATACATATATATATATATCAATCACCAAAGAGAAAAGAATATATATATATATATATATATATCACAATTTGAACCTTGTAAAGAAAAAAAAAATCACCATTTGAACATTCAGAGAAACACAAGCCATTAAAAGATGACAAGTTCATCAGATAATTCATAAACATTTACAGATACCAGAAACAACAGAAAAGCAGAAGAAAGAAACGCATAAAATATATTTATTATAAGCTCAAATTCGATTATTATTGGATTAAAAATTGAAAGCAAGATGAAGAGCCAAGTTTAATCTCCACCTGATGAGGAACGGAATTATTTCTTTCTGCTTTCTTTTACGGGGAGAAACAGAAGCGAGCTGGCCAAACAGCACCATCACCACCACCAAGACGAGAGAGGAGAGAGAGAGGGAGGGGGAGAGAGAGAGAGAGAGAGAGAGAGAGAGAGAGAGAGAGAGAGAGAGAGAGAGAGAGAGAGGTCGAATGAAGCGATATTGGCGGGAAATAAATGGAAGCGGAAGGCAGAGCTCCATTGGCTGCCTCTTTCCCCCTACAAAACGGTCTCACCTATTCAAACTGAAAATATAGAGTCAAATTAAAAATTGAAAAATTGCTCCATCTAGTTTAAAAAATAATTCTTACAAGGCATTTTAGCGGTCTACTGATATTCCTCTTTACTTGTAACTAAGAAGTTTTATAGATTCGTTTCTCGTCAAAGGTAAATTCAACCCGCATTATTGCTAATCCATGAGTTTAAGTCCACTCCTCCCCCTTGGTGCATCATAATATCATTTGTTCAAAAAAAAAATAATAATAGATATGTGCAAACGATATTCTACACTAATATAAAAGAGTTTTGAAACTTGAGACACAGTGGATTGAAGAAAAATATCTCAACCTACAAATCACTAATCCACAATCGAAATATATCAGAAAGAGAGAAATTTGATGTACTTAATATTATAATTTAGAGTTATTTTTTTTCACTTGTAAATAAGCGTCTTAAATTTCACTAAAAAAATACTTGAAGCGTCTTTTTTTTTTTCATTAGTAAAATCCAAGTGAATCAGACAACAACTTGAAGTGCTTATTGGAATAAATACATATCTAGTACTTTTTCCAAAAAATACTTGAAGTGCTTTTGGAAATCAAAATCAATTTCACTAAAAACGCTTTAATCATTTTAAAAGCACATTTAACCGAGCCCCTTGTGTGTGTGACCATTTTTTTTAATGGAAAGGAGAGATGGAGATACATTTTTATTTTATAATAGTAGAGATATGTTATGATCACGTCTATTGTGAAATTAAACTCAACCATTTTTTCTTTTAGTATGTATAAAATCTTTTGTCAAAAAAAAAAAAAAAGATGGTGCAAAATTACATTACTGCCAATAATTTTACTCTTTCCGACGAAAACATGGGCGGTTAGCCCAATCCACAAACAACAAAAAAGCCCAAACCAACATTACGACCGAGAAAAAAAAATTAAAACCAGCTGCCCAAAAATCTCTAAAACCCTAACTAAAAACCCTGTAATGTTGGAAGCCTCTGCAACCTCTGTTAAACAACACCCCTTCTTCTTCTTTCTTCTTCTTCTTTCCTTCTTTCCTTCCCTCCTCACTGAACAGCGAACGAACCATCAGAAAGATGACGTCGTCGGAGAGAGAAGAGAAGCCGACGAAGATGTTTGGGAAGCAATTGGCGGCGGCGGAGGACTTCGCGGCGGTGCGTGAGCTCTTCCGCCACCACATAGAGTCATTCGACTACCTTGTCACTAAGGGTCTCGAGGTTCTACTCAGCAAGATCAAGCCCATCGAAATCGTCGACCCTTCCACCAACAATACGCTTACAAATATCCTTTCTTTTATTTTCCTTGCATTTTTATTTGCAATTTGTTTTGTTTGAGCTCTTTTTTTCTCTTACCATTTTGATTAAATTAGTTGATTATTGTATTGAAATCGATACGTTTGTTCTTGACTTATCTTACTCTGGTTGGGTGACCCTGCGTTGTACCGACCTTATAAGGAAGAGTCGAAAATGATGCAAGTTCCTCTGCTGCCTTTTGAAGTAAGTGTCAAACACTCAAATATGTGTGTATGTGTATACAGGTATGATTGTGTACATGATAGGCATTAATGGGTTGTTGTTGTTGTTTAAACAGTGTAGACAGGCTAAACTTTCCTACACGGGGAAATTCATGGCGGAAGTTTGCTTTAAGTATAATGATAGTGGAGCTGTTATAAGAGAAAAGTTCAATTTTGGGCAGCTTCCCATCATGCTACAGGTCGGTGTTCTTTCCTTTTTGTTCTTTAACTTTATCAGCTCTTGTATTTGTTTGCGATTTGTAAATCGTGCAATGTATTCATATTCCTTCAAGCAATTTTGGGAATCTAGGATCATGAATAGGGCTGGATTTGAGCCTGAAAATAAATTGTTGACTTGTAACGTTTTTGCGAGATGTTAATAACTGGTTGTTATTTGTATGAACTCATCAAAACATGCTTACTTTTGTTGACTCTTCCGTTTTAGTCTTCTTGTTGATGGATGGCAAATGATCATTGTTTGTACAATGCAGTCAAAGCTTTGCCACTTAAGAGGTGCTAATCCCCAAAAGCTAGTTTCTTACAAAGAAGAGGCATCGGAAATGGGTGGGTAAGTATTTTGATTTCTCTTTTGTTTTTTTATCATGTCATCATGTGCGATATCTTTACTTTTTTTTTTTTTTTGTCTTTGCTATACTTTGTGTGCTTTGTTAATTCTTTTTCTACATTTGTTTTGTTGTAGTTATTTCATTTTAAATGGGCTTGAGAGAGTGGTTCGGCTTGTTATATTGCCAAAGCGGAACTATGTAAGTGAGCATTTTCATCTTATGTAATGCAACAAATTTTTGGACAGGCCATCACCCTTGTAGCCAAAGTGAACCACAACACAGTGGACAAGATGTACCCTGGACTAAACCAACTAACCAAACAAAAAGATTGAATGAAAAACAAAACAGAAATACAGAACTCCTTTGCAAGAGCATCCCAATCAGAATGAATAGATTGGGGGAGGTCTTGAATTCAAGTTAGATTGGGAGTGGGTGTTGGAGGGAGAAGACTTTGTGTTTTCTACAATAGGAAATTGGCTAGTACCTTACTTAGCTAATCAGTAACATACTTGATACTGTTCTCTATAGTTTAACAGTAGGATTTATGGTGGATTTCAATTCTCAAAGATAGTTTTGGAGGAAGGATGCTAACTTTCTCAATTTGTTTTTCCTATTGTTCCAGCCAACTAGTATGGTGCGAAATTCATTTCGTGATCGAAAGGAAGGATATACTGACAAAGCAGTTGTAATAAGGTTTGGTTCTATCTCTACACATGTGTGCTTGCATGTTTATAATAAAGTTCTTCTTTTGATATATTCTGTTATAACTCATGACCTAGTATTAGTAATAATAGTGTCAGTCCTAGTTTGTGAGATGCATATATTAAAAAGAGAACAACACTGGGGACAAGGTGTACCCTGCACTATACCCAACTATTGAAACAACAAAACAGAAACCAACGGAATAAAACAAAAGGACAGAACTCTTACCAAGGCGTTGCGACAACTATGTCAATGAAAATTAAATTACAATGGATGATAGTCTCTTCATAAAAATGGGATGAAAAGGTTAAAGTTTCAGCTTTGATTGGCATTTCATGCAATTTGGAAGGTAAAGATACATCATAAGCTATGGGGTTTGCTTGGTTATTGCTCATGTTAAGGAAAATTCATGGTGCAAAGGAGGAAACCATAGTGAAGCGTTTCTCCTTACTGGTGTGTAATGTGCAAAGGAGATCCCCAATTCAAATGCTCCATTGTCAAGTTGGGTATTCTTTAGAAATGGGAGTTCAGATTAGAAACGGGAGTTCAGATTGAGTTGGTAATTCCAGAAACTTGTAATGCATTACTTTGTGAGAAGCCTATATTTTTTAAGGGAGTAAAAGTGGCATGGTGACTGGAAGGTGGAGAGAAATAAAATAATCTTTAGTATGTTGGGTGGGGGAGGTGGTGTTCGATTATTTGTGAGACATTGTTTGTTTCCACACGTCTTTATGGGCTTAAATTTCCTAAGATTTTAAGTAGTGGTCCTTTCATGTTCTTTGTTTTTTATTTGTTCTCGTTGCTTTTGGGTTAAAATCATATGTTGTTTGTTTTACAATGGATTGATTCATTCAGAATCTTATTGAATTTCGGTTAGAATTTGGGTTAAAATCAGGAGCTATTCGCATGTAAGCCTTTTATAACATTAGACTTTAGAGAAAACCACTATAAACTCAAATACTTTTGAGAAAAAAAAAACACTTGGTAATGTGAGAAGGGCACCAAAGAATTTCTTAATCAATTAGAGCATAGCAAGTGGACTGATGAGGGATTTTTTTAGTTAACTTGAGCTTTTGAAGTGTTTTTGTTTTAAACTTACCTAGGTGTTTTTTCTAATTTACTATGAAATCAGAACCATTGCCATCTTCAGTTGTTAGGAATTATCTAGATCCAGTAGCAGCTTCTTTGTGCAAAGGATATGTTGTTTTATCTTGTTTTGATTTTCCTATTACTGTTATTTCAGATGTGAAAGAGAAGATCAGTCTTCAGTAACTGTCAAATTGTATTACCTTCGTAATGGAAGTGCAAGACTGGGATTTTGGTAAGTGATTTAAAACGGACTACCAAAGTATTTTGGTTTACTGTTTGGAGAGGCAACTAAAATGGGCATGTATATGTATTATATATGGAATCATGGATTAAATATTTTTGCAGGATACAAGGGAGGGAGTACTTGCTTCCTGTAGGCGTTGTCTTAAAGGTACTCCAAATAATACTAGTTACAGATATCTGTATATTTCTACTTTTGATGAAAGTGCTTGAAAATAATGTGTATATCCTCTCTCTCTCTCTCTATCGATTCTCTTTACATCTGGTTTCTGTATCTTTTGAGGTTTCAATGATCAGCAATCAAGATTTATATTTTGTCTGCATAGAGGTGAATATTTGATCCAGACTTAGCTAGTTGGACAAGAACACCTTTTTTGTTTTATAAAAAAGCAAGAATCCTCTTCATGTATTCTTTTTTAAATCATGATCATAGAGGTTAACTTTTTAATTCATGATCATATTTTACTTTATCTCAGGTATATTTTTATTCCTTGATCCATTTTCTGTCTGTGAAATGCTTTCTCACATCTCGCAACATTTTTATTTTGAGGGAGAGGTAAAGGTTTAAAGTGAAATCGTTGGTGGAGTTCAGTACTTTGCAATTTCTTGAGAAACTAATGCTCTTCATAATTTTTTTTAACTTTTATGTTAGAGTTCATATATGTACATATATTAGTTTATTTTACTTATACTTTCTATCAGAGAATGCAAATAGAATAACTAACCCACTTTTATTGATAAAGATTCACAAGAAAGTCAAGTGATGCCTCCTCTTCCCCAATCACCATCCGAGTAAACTTTTCGGAACGAAAATAAAAGAATTTGTTTATTTTGCACTTGAAAAGATTACAGGATATGTTTCAGTAGAATAGTTATACTCTGCTTGACAGTTGATTTGTGCATAGTAGTGTTATGTTCACATTCCATCCCTTATGAACGTGTCCTCATGTTATGTGAAGGACTAAACTTTTGGGCCCAATCTGTGTTGTGGTCTCATGATCTGTTCCTCATTGTTTTATTATGTATTTGGCCTACTTTATATTCTTTTGACCTTTTCCCCTTAGTTGATGTAGTTGTCATGTTGTAATATATTTGATTATGCTAACTTTGCCAACATGCTTAACAGGCTCTCATTGATACTACTGATCGTGAAATTTATGAGTGTTTGACATGTTGCTATGTTGAGAACTACGAGAAAGGAAAAGGGGCTGTTGGCACTCAGCTAGTGGGTGAGAGGGCACAAATTATCCTGGATGAAGTGAGAGACTTGAAACTTTTCACTCGTCATGAATGTCTAGAGCACATTGGTACTTACTCTTATCTTGTCATTGTCTTTCAAATCTGATTAAAATAATAACCATTTGTATTGATTACTTTTATCGTTATCAGGAGAACACTTCCGACCTCTTATGGGTGGATTGGAGAATGAACGACCTTCGGTTGTAAGTCATGTTCTACAAACTTTGACTTGTTTTGGTCCTTCAAAGGAGTTAGGGAAAGAAAGCTACTTTACAAATGGAGTGGGTTGTTAGGCTGCTTATTTCTGACTGTTTCATTTGAAGGTTGGGGATGCTGTTATAATGAATTACATATTGGTCCACCTTAATAAGGCTCATGACAAATTCAATCTGCTCATGTTAGCTGCTCTCTCTCTCTCTCTCTCTCTCTCTCTCTCTCTCTCTATCTATCTCTTCTATATATATATATATATATATATATATATATATAACTATATATGTATGTGCGCGTGTGTGTATATGTATGTATTCTAATTCACCCTTGGTCGCAAAAAAAAAAAAAAAAAAAAAAGATGGTTTCTGTGTCTGAGTGTTGTGCATCATTTCTCACACTTTGCATGTCTTTAGATTTATGGTGCAGAAACTTTTTTCACTTGTGGATCAGACTTCTGTGCCGGACAACCCAGATTCCTTGCAAAATCATGAAGTCCTACTCCCTGGTCACTTGATTACAATATATCTTAAGGTATTGTGGTAGTTTGTATAATGGTAACTCTTGAGGAAAACATAAATGTTTTGGTTTCTGGTACGTGCACCACAATGTCAAGGTTTTCTGCTATTCTGCGTATTGCAGTAATGTCTGAAGAATTTTATGCTGTAAAGCTTGTCTAGGGTGGCAGGATAAGTATTTACTTAGAAGAGTAGTATGTCTCTGAACACCATGTAGCAATTCAATGGTTAGTTCTAGAATAAAAATATTTTCGTGGCTAAGGCTAATGCTTCCCCTGATAATTAACTTGCAATTAAGCCACGACCAAAAGTTCAAAGGGATCGATTCAGTCATTTGATATCCTTAAGTTGTTGACCAATTGTTTTTACTAAGTAATCTATTGAGTTTGTGGGATAGGGATTCATGGTTTTGTTTGGATCTTACTGCTATTTGATATGCCATGTAACATAACTGAGAATATGATACCCCAACCTATTATTTCATAGTGAATGAATACAAACTACATGGTACAATAACAGTGAGTATCACATTTCTGTTGTCAATTTCTTCCATAGCTGTTTGATGTTGTAAAGCCCTTCTTGTCTTGTCTCTTTTGTGTTTTCTTTCAACTGGAGGGTAGGTTTTCTATCCCCATTATCCCAATAAACATTTGCTCCGGAGCAAATTATCTTAAATTTTAATACCCTTATATGATTATTGCAGAGTACAATTTCCATGCATTTGAGTCCAGGGTTGTGTTCACTTAGTGTTTATCTTGATTTCTAGGAAAAACTAGAAGAGTGGTTGCAAAGGACGAAAAAGCTTATTGAAGATGAGATCAACAAAAATAAGGACTTTGAATTTGGCAACGGTATGTGTTTTCTTTCTTTTATTAATTTTTTTTTAATTAAATCATTGAATTATTCCTCTTGTCCCCTTTCTCTGTGAATTGACACTTCCATCCTGATAATGCAGTAGCTAAAGTAAAGAAGCTTATGGATAAAAATCCTGCAAAGCAGATCAGTTTAGCTGTTGAAAATATGTTGAAAACTGGAAGACTTAATACTCAATCTGGTCTAGATTTGCAGCAGGTACGACTTATTGATTATGCTTGAACTTTTCCACTTCTAAATTTTGTACTAAGAGGTTTGCTACTCATAAACGAAACCTGCCCAGAATTTGGGCACTTCTTATTATCTGAATCTTATCTCATGTATGATATTCAAGTTTACAAGTAGGCTATCTTTAGATTTATCTGGATGCATGTTTATGATTGTTATGTGTTTTACAAATATTCTTTTAGAGGGCAGGCTTGACGGTTCAGGCAGAGAGGCTTAACTATTTACGCTTCATATCTCATTTTCGTGCTGTTCATCGAGGGGCATCATTCGCTGGACTTCGCACCACAAGTGTGCGGAAATTGCTACCTGAGTATGTATTTGCTTGCGAGGTTACTCAAAATGACGTTGATTCCATGATTAAAATTTGGGTTTGACCAGATGTTTATTTTTTTTTCTTTACAGATCTTGGGGTTTTCTTTGCCCTGTCCATACACCTGATGGTGAACCATGTGGCTTGTTGAATCATATGACTCACATTTGTAGTAAGTACATGTTGTGCCCTTATTTTTAAAGTTTCTTTTTTTCTTTTTTTTCATTTAAATTTGGGGACCGCCGAATTTGTTTGAATTATAGAAAGTTTTTCCATTGATTCAAAAGAACTACAATACAATACAATACAACTTTTGGTGAAGCATAATAAGAATTGAACTTCTAACTAAAGGTAAAGTAGAACTCTAAAAATACCTTGATAACAAAATAAAACTCTTAAGGCCTCGTTTGTTAAAGAGGTTTGGCTTGGGGAGCACTATTCACTATATTGAAGGCATTTTGAAGGAAGAAATAGATGACAATTTCCTTATTTTGTCCAAGTTGAAGGTTATTCATGGAGAAAAGTTGTCCCTTTTAATCCACCATTTTTGCGGGATTAGTAGGGATATCTTTTCTTCATGGGTAACCTTCAACTTGGAAAAAAAATGAAAGTTTCTTCCTTCAAAATGCCTTCAATATAGTCAATAGTCCTACCCAAGCAAATCCTCTCTAACAAACAAGGCCTAAGAATTACAGGTTACACACGGATTATTCCTCCACTCCAGAAAATTTGAAAATCACAGAAGTGTCCTTTACCATCTGAAACGAATAAAGGAAATAAGCAATTTTGAAGTAAAAGGCCTGTTTGGAAATGCTTTTAGATTGGATAGACGTGCTTTCAGATAAATGCTTCCAACAACTGGGAAAAAAGAGTTGAAAGAGCTTATGGCTGTCGTACAATGCAAGTATACTGGCAAATTGAATAAAGGTGTATCATGAAATTTGATTACGAAGAGTTACGTAAGAGTGATTGTTTTTATTATCTTAAAATACATGTCCAGGAGGAAGGTTAGATTAGTGCCAGCACTACAGATGACATTAAGGTGCTGTTAACAAATATCAGGGATACATTACTGAGTAATGTCAAACTTAGAAGCTAGAGAAAATATTTTGCCTCATCCGGATGTTTATTAGTGCTTTGCCTTTTATTTCCCAAAGGTCTTATTTATTGCCACACTCATCTTGGATGTGATACCCAATAACCAATTATTCCATCTTATTCATTACAGGGATTACATCCTTCTTTGATGCTCAAGGAAATATTAGAGACTTCTCAAAGATCCGAGAGTCTATTCTCAGTGTTCTGAGTGCAGTTGGAATGAAGACTTCAAAGCCAAATCTGGTTCAAGCTGGTCCTCCTGCAGCTTTTTCTGTTTTGTTAGACGGCTGTGTTGTTGGTTCTATATCTTCCAGTAAAGTTGAGAAAGTTGTGGCTCATTTAAGGAGGCTGAAAGTGGCAGCTGCTCCAGTGGTTTGTTTTTGCCCTCTATTTGTTTTTTCCTTTCTTGCTTTTTAGCCTAGCTTTTCTGTCTAATATCAATCCTTGACATTGTTGCTGAAACGATGTCTCAGATTCCTGACGATCTGGAAGTGGGATATGTTCCATTAAGCATGGGTGGGGCATATCCTGGTCTGTACCTTTTCACTATCCCTTCTAGATTTGTTCGGCCAGTAAAGAATATTTCAATTCCTTCTGTTGAAGGTCAGAATATTGAACTTATTGGACCCTTTGAACAGGTAAATATTGTTTTTCTTTTAATAATTTGTTTACCCAGATTACTGTTGCTGCCATCCCAGATTACATTTGCTGCCGTGATAAGAATTATCGTTTACAAGAAGACAAGTAGTCTGATGCAATATGCTTTGTTACTTGTTACTTTTCATTTTATTTTCTTTTTGTGATTTTTAGATGGGGTACCAGATAAATATTGATTTGAATTACTGTCATATTTCCGCTTTGATCATCAGGTGCTTATTATGATCAGACCCTAAAAGTATGACTCTCTGGTTTCTCTGTGTGATATTAGGTTTTCATGGAAATAAGATGTCCTGATGGTCGAGATGGTGGAAGGAAAGATGGTTTCCCAGCAACTCATGAAGAAATTCATCCAACTGGAATGCTCAGTGTGGTCGCTAATCTTACACCCTGGTCAGATCATAATCAGAGCCCACGAAATATGTATCAGTGCCAGGTTCTCTTCTGTTTTACCCTCCTGTCTGTCCTTGGTGATTGTTCAACAAAAGTTTTATCTTGTCTAAATTTTTGGAATCCTACTCCTAAATTTTATTGAATATCGTTGCTGTTTGAACTGTAGATGGCAAAACAAACAATGGCCTTCTCTTTACAAGGACTTTGTAATCGTGCAGATCAAAAGTTGTACCATCTTCAGGTTGGTTCTCTTTGTAATCTTGTTATTCTGTAGCAGGGATCAAGGAAATAAATTATGAAAAGCTTTTCCTGGAACACTTTATACAACATTTTAAGTACCAGTCCATTAAGATAGGGTTTGGATTACTGATTAGCATTTGGGTGGATTTTTGTTCTCTAATTTAAAGTTCTTAGTTTCCCCACCAAGTATTTTATTTTTTCATATTTCCAATTTGTTGACACAACATGAAGCTGGAACTGTGTAGTATTTCTCTCGATGTTGTTTTGATGAATGTTTGTCCATGGTGGATCCATTTTAGTCAGCACTTGTGCTAGGGAGGCATGTGATCTAATATTGCTGTAGAAGCAACAAATTCTCTTATTTAAATGTACTTCATTGTTATTGTCCCTTCATTTCATCATGTGTTTTTATCCTTTTTTTTTGTGCTAACTGTTCATTGTTACGTTGAAAAATGGGGCATGCAGACTCCTCAGTCCCCTATTGTACGCACAAGTGCATATAAGAAGTACTGCATCGATGAATACCCAACAGGCACAAATGCGATCGTTGCTGTACTGTCATATACTGGGTGAGAAATTTAGATACATAAAGCCTATATGTTGTTGTTTGCTTTCTTTTCTTTTAGAATTTATTAATATTTCTCCTTTTTTTTCTTATGATATCTAGATATGATATGGAGGATGCCATGATTCTAAATAAGTCATCTGTTGAACGTGGAATGTTTCATGGGCATATATATCAGGTTTCTTCTTGCAATATCACATGATGCTACTTTCGTATAAAAATAGATAAATAAATAATATTGGATGAAACAACTTTGTTTTTTTCCCCTTGTGCTCTGCTTTTTATTAATTATCGCTGGTGCTTCTTGAGCTCTGTATACTATAGCCTTTATTTTTTTTTCTTTTGTAATGTTAGAGGTCAAATGCAATGCTTTTTAATATTGGTCCCTTTTTATAGAATCTTTTACAAAATTGAGTTTTATATATTGTTGGATCGTTTTTCTTTAACTTTCCTGTATAGATCGTTTTGAGAAATATGAGTCCGAGCCTCAAAGGCAATTTACAAATTATAAGAATGTTCACTGAAATTCCACGCAGCTTGGTACTTTATTCATATTACTAAGTTGGAGTCCAGACCGAAATTTCTAAATAATCATCCTGCAGGGCCCAGACAAAGTGAGGGAGATTTTGTTCTTGATGGAATCTATTAGCAAATCTTGTATTCATTTGGCCAAATGCATTTTGTATACATGAATTTACTCTTGTTTCTTATTGTATGTTGAAGGTCATTTTTAACGGGGTTTTTTCCTTTTATTCTTTAATGTTTTTGTATACCAAATTGATGTCTTTACTAATGCATATGGTTTTCTTCTTCTTGGACCTAAATACCCACCCTTACCAAATGATGGGTTTTGGCAGACAGAAACAATAGACTTGTCTGATCAAAAGAAGAGGTCGGATAACACCCCAACATATTTTAAGAAAAGTAACGTCGATAAAAATCCTTTGATTGATTCAGATGGTCTTCCTCATGTTGGTCAGGTTAGCATTCATATCTGGATTTAGTTTCTGCTCTATATTATCTTCTGCATTATGTTGAACCCCGATAGTTGGGATCACGGCAGTGCAACTGTTGTTGTGATATTTTGTCCAGATGCAAGCTGCTGGCCAGTCGACTGACTTAATGATTGGATTTTGTCTTCATGCGGCCTCTGGCCAGTTGACGGACTGGAAGTACAAGTTTTTCTCTTGCTTAGATTTTAGGTCATTACTTTTGGGTTTTTTCAGAGTTCAAAACCCTAGAGTTGAAGCCTAAAATCTCATCCAATATAAATGTACTACATATAATACATATGTGCTTGCAATTATGTACTTACTTCATTCTTTGTTACTTTTCAGACAATAAAACCATATGAAGAATATTATAGCTTTACGAATGACACTCTTCATAAGCCTAGAGCTGTCAAACGGAAAGGTACAGAACCTGTTATAGTTGACTACGTTGCTATCGATGGGAAGAAGCTCCTCCAGAAGGTAAGTGGACAACCTTTACTTTGGTTCCTCCATATGAAGAATATTATACTGTACTTGCGTAGCTATCATTTCCTATATTACCCTTATTTTACTTATTTTTATTTTCGTTTTGAGCAGGCAAACATACGCTTTCGACACACTAGAAACCCCATCATTGGTGATAAATTTAGCAGCCGGCATGGGCAAAAAGGTGTTTGCTCCCAGTTGTGGCCTGATATTGATATGCCATTTTCTGGAGTTACGGGAATGCGTCCAGATCTAATCATCAATCCCCATGCATTTCCTTCTAGAATGACAATAGCTATGCTGTTGGAATCAGTTGCTGCAAAGGTACTTGATCCTAAAGAATTTTATTTATACTACATCTTTAATATGGGCATAGATTTGCTTTCTGATGCAATGAAAGGAAACTATGAAAGATGCCGGCATGTTTCTTGTCGCAGGGCGGTAGCTTACATGGAAAATATGTTGACGCGACTCCATTTGCTAGTTCAAAGAATGCTAATGGAGAGACTGGACCAAAATCCAAAACCCTTGTTGACGAACTTGGTGAAATGTTAAAGGTTAAGGGGTTTAACTACCATGGTGTAGAAGTTCTGTACAGCGGGGTTTATGGCACAGAACTCACATGCGAGATCTTTATTGGCCCTGTTTATTATCAACGACTACGACACATGGTTTCAGACAAATTTCAGGTTAAGATTCAACCAAATTCAAATTTTTTAACTACATGAGCTTTCAAGATTTTCTTAAGATTCCTTTTTTTTATCATTGGTTGCCTTACATGTGGTACTCCAATTTGGCGTGCAGGTTCGCTCCACTGGAACGGTAGACCAGGTCACTCGCCAGCCTATCAAAGGACGAAAGCGAGGTGGTGGCATACGTTTTGGTGAAATGGAGCGCGACTCCATGCTTGCGCATGGGGCAGCATATCTGTTGCACGACAGGCTTCATACCTGTTCTGATTATCACATTGCCGATGTATGTTCCATATGTGGAAGCATCCTAACGTCCACATTCATCCAACCAAAACGGGTTGGGCGTCTGGTTTCAGGAATTCCGTCTGTAAGAGCTCCCAAGAAGGTCATCTGCCATGCTTGTAAGACAAGCAAAGGGATGGAGACAGTTGCAATGCCCTATGTCTTCAGATATTTAGCTGCAGAGTTGGCATCAATGAACATAAAAATGACTCTTCAGGTAAGTAATGCAGCGAAAGATTGATATCACGTTCTTGCGAATGAAGAACCAATGTAAGATGGTTCGTCAGTTGATGAGATATAGCAGGCTGCGGCGGCGGGACACTTCACACAAGCAGCAAACCGTCGATGTTGGGGATTGGGGAGAGGGTCCTTGTATGTATTTATAAATTTCCAAGAGGGTTTGGGCTCTCTTCAGTTTTCTTATAAGCACAGATTACTCTTGAAGCTCTTAACCTTGTTTTTTCTTTTTTAATTATTGTTTTGAGTGCAAGTGGAATTACTGTTTTTTAAAATACCATCTCAAATGTCAGTGGAAAGATATTGTACCAGAGAACGCGAAGGTCCATCTCCGGTCACGAAATGCTGAACGTAACTCTTAGGGCTATGTATGTTTTAGGCATTCAAAAATTAATCTTTTAAAGAATATTGTGGGGCTAAAATATTCCATCTCGAGAGAGGATCCTTGCCAGATTCTTGTTGTGAGATCCTTGCCGGATCCTCTTTGTAAGGATCCCAGGGGTCCTCCAATCACATTTATTTATCGTACATTGTGTGACTAATTTTTGTCGGGTATTGTTTATATTCAATTTTAAATAAAAAAAATTTACAATAATTTCTGACCGTTCGATATACGATAAACATATATGATTGGAGGATTCTCACATCCGATGAGAATCCTCCTGGTTCCATCTCCACCCGCACATGCAAGGCTTGTCGAGGGGCTCGTGGGCTTGCTATATGTAGTCGGCTCTTGGCTAAATTTGGCCTTGATTCTTTTTAGCAAATTCATTTTCGTTTTTCCATTTTTTTACAAACAATAGCGTTTTAGTGTGTTAAATGATTAGTTGTTAAAGAGGAAGATCGGTGAAGATAAAACCAACACCAAAATGCACATGCACGTTTGAATGAACAGAATAACGAAGGTGTACATGTAAGGCCAAGGAAGACTGGAATGATCATACAAAAAGTGATTTCCAATGCCAATATGGTTGGTAATGGCGAAGCGGATTATGGTGTCTTCATTGATACTACCGCAGAAGAGGAGTTTGAAGGGAGTAGCTCTGCTGCTGCTGCTGCTGATGTAGTTTTCTGTGACATTGGCGAATGCAAGTTTCTCCTGTTAGAATTCCCTTCAGTCCTATTTCTCTCCAAAAGCTTCGTTGGGAAAGCACGAAACTTGTATGAGTCCGGGGCCTTTCCCCTAGAACCACCACCAAGATTTCTACCGGCCTTCCGTGGCCGGGTTTCTGTTTGCTTTATGCACTTGTAATTGGTTTGAAACAAAACATACTTCAAAATTTGTGATATAACAAATGTTGTCTTTGTCGTTATCAATTATCATTTTCAAGAAACGAGTACAACAAGATAAGCACTACTTGATAATGCAAGGGAGCTTCCCGACTCATTTCACTACGAAAGAGGATATTTACCATCGAAAGACTTCAGAAGGACAGATAATCTCCCTTATCATCAGATCAAACATGAGTAAACATGACTATAACTCAGTCTTCCTACATCCCTTCGTGCATCGTCTTGTCTTGAGTGGCACTGGCATGTCGCTAATAATTTTTCCCCTGCAAAAACCAACCACCATGAGCTACCTAAATTTCCAGAAAATTTCATGATTTTCTCATCTCATCCGCAAAATTGTAAGCATACTCCGCAAGTTAAACATCTAGTTACTCAGCATTTGATATCTTACTTGGTCAATCCCTGTATGTTCCATGGGTGCAGAGTTGCTTTGTTGGAATCTCTCATCTCCTCCATGTGCAGGGTATCCCTTTGCATTACCAGATGCCGTTCCTTGGCCATAAGGTCCAGAACTCGGTCCTTGGCCATAAGATCCAGAGCTCGGTCCTTGCCCATAAGCTGCAGAGCTTGGTCCTTGCCCATAAGCTGCAGAGCTCGGTCCTTGCCCATAAGCTGCAGAGCTTGGTCCTTGCCCGTAAGCTGCAGAGCTCGGTCCTTGCCCATAAGCTGCAGAGCTCGGTCCTTGCCCATAAGCTCCAGAGCTTGGTCGTTGCTCATAAGTTCCAGAGCTCGGTCCTTGCGCATAAGCTCCAGGTGTTCCCTGGCCTTGAAATCCACTCAAACCTTGCCCATCAGTATCAGAATGTGGGGGACCATAATTCCTGTTATCTCCCCTAAATCCCTGCTGACCAGGAGGGGCATAATTCCTCTGATGTCCTTGTGGGAAGTTCCTTTGTTCTTGGGGGCGATAACTTTGCTGCCCTCCTTGGTCGTAATTGCCCTGATATGAAGGTACTGGTTCTCCACCTGGCTGATATGCATCCCTCCCTCCAGCGGTATTCACTGGAATAGGACCTGTGTTCTCTCCTTGTCTTGGTGAGCTATAATTTTGTGATGCTGCATAGTTCCCTCCACCTCGCATAGGACCCTGTTGATTATAGGAGGGATTGCCTTGCGGATTATACGATGGTCGTTGCTGATCATATCTTTGTTGGTCACGGTTCCTGTTATTATCACGGAATCTTCCACCCTGCTGCCTTCCATACTGAACTGGGGGTGGTCTTGGTATGATTGTACCATTAATGTATTTGTCTCCTGATATTTACAGAAAACAATTTAAATTGAATTAAAATGGTAGATATGGATGGACTGGCTCATTTGTTTTACAAGTCTGCAATCCAAAACAACTTAAGTTGAATCAGCTGATAAATTGCTACCCACTATTCTCAGAGAAAACGATCATTGCATCCTACCTCCATATTCCTTGTTCTGTGGATCAATGTAAGAATCCGGTAACACAAAAACTACTCCAGGTAAACCTGTTAAAAATTGAATGGAAAAGTTATCATCGGGGTTCAAGACTATCATTTTCAATGGTAACACAGAATGCTATCCAAAACTTACCTTCAAACTTCTGTGACTCTTCCTCAGACATCACAACCTGAAAGCCTGTATATGTTGTAGTGCTACAAGCATAAATCTTCTTTTTTGCCTCTTCCACACTGATTCACAAAAATACTTATGAGAAGAAACATCCAATGCATACAAGACTGCTGCAAGCATAAAGCTACCCAACAAACTTGTCATAGAAACTAGTAGCATTGACATAATCGCATCCAGCAAATGGTTGATGAGCAACATATATAGCCAATAATATATGTATAGTAGACAAGTTAGAATTACATTCAATAGTCGATGAATATATAAAAGAATCGATATCATACCATCAACCGAATTCGATAGTGGAACTATGAGGTAAAACATTTCACAGGCAAGACACTGTAACATCTTATTAGTTCCTTTAAGGGGAAATTAGAGGCGATTACACCAACAAACCTTTCGGTTTTTGTATTATCCCGAAATTATTACCAGAGCGGGACTAATAGGTGCTTTATCTTTCTCAGGCCCGCCAAAGGCGAATACTTTTTACAGGGACTCGTTATGGTCCACCTCGAACACAGAAGTAAACAATCAAGCTACTGTTGGACTTGAATCGGGCGCCTACTCCTGAGTGGAGGGACGTGCTAATAAATACTACAGAATATATTGCAAGGTTCAAAATTACCATTTTCGTTCACAGTAGTCATTTTCCCTCTGATTTTCTCAGTAACCAAACGTATCGTCAAATCAAAGCATACCATCATAAGCATATACATAAAAATGGAGAGAGAGGAAAGATGCGTGACCTGATGTTCAAGCCTTTAGCACAAGTCTCCTCATAATTCCTGATCATCTCCTCAGCCGGAGGCTTGTTGTCCCTCGGGCAATCCATGACGATCAGCCAGTGGTTGTAGTCACACCCTTCGAACAGTATCGTATCCGGGCCAATCTCGTCATTTTGGTTGTTGCCGTACGAATTCGGTCGCGCGGAAGAGAACGGCGACGACCTGAACGTCCGAGACTGGAGGAGGAGCCTCCAGGACTGTGGCGGCAGCGCAGGGAACTTTTCGGACGTGGAGGCGGGAAGCAGAGGAGAGGAAAAGGAGTGTGGAGCTGAGAGTGCGGAGGTTGCAGAGAGGGAGCGATGGAGGGTGGAGAGACCGCTTATGGTTCGGCGGAGGCGGAGAGAGTTCAGCGCCATGGCTAGGGTTTTGAAGAGTTCTGGAGTTTTCGGGGTTTTAGAGAAGAGAGGGCTCACTACAATTAGTGAAGGGGATACCCAAAGGGTTTTATGATCGAAGTTATTCTAATCATTTTGATTATTTCATAAAATTTATTAATATTCTTAGTAAACTATTATGTAAATGGTTATGTGATCGTTTTTTTATGGATAATTTTGTCAAATTAACTCTTTCACTTAACGAGGGTATTAACATATTTTATACAAAATGATTAAGAAAACTTGTCAAAGACAAATTCAAAAATCAATTTTATTAATTTTTATTTTCAATAATTAAAATGAAAAATTATAACAATCTTGAAGACAATTTTGACTAAAAAATTAATTTATCGTTTTGTCTCCAATTCGAAATTTGATTGCTCAAGTAAAATACATAAGTATAGAAAAAAATTATGTAAAGTAACTTTTGTAATTGAGCCAAATAAAAAAATTTGAATATAAACACGTAAATTATAAAAATAAAAATTTAAAATTTTCTGAGTATGGGTTAAAAGGAATACCTATTTTCAAGAGCTAAACAAGTAGCAGAAAATATGAAAAATGGGGGGTAAACTGTTACTGCGTTTTTTAAAAAAAAAGACAATTTTCTATTTTGCTCTTGAATCGATGAATTTACGATATAATTGAATATAGTTAAATTGCTTAATATTAATCAAATCAGCTTCAAATGATAGTAAATTTTTAAGCCAAACACGTAAAAAATACAAATTTAATAACGTGAAACATATGTAACCATAAGGCTTTACACGAACCAACTTGCTCTAATACCCTTTAAAAAGTTAGAGTTCCATCATAAAACTAATTGGTTTTAATCTACATAATGAATGAGCTACGATTGAAAGGAAGTAGACCTTTTAGCTAAAATGGTCATTGAGATTGACATAACTCATCACTTTGGTCCTAAAGATTGAAAATTCATAGAAATCGTATTTGAGTTTGTCTACAATTAATCATTTTGATCATTTTGTGCAAAATTTCCATTAAATTAATAATATTTTTGTCCAGTCAACCCCTCTACTTAATTTCATTTAACGAAATTTTTTCATAAAATACTTAAATAATTGATGATGAATAAACTCAAAACCATTTGATTTTCAATACCAAGCATCAAAGTAAGAGTAATGTCAAAATGAGGAATCATTTTAAAGCTAAAAAGGCAACAAAGTGTGATATTATTACCAGTTTCTGCAGTAAAAAGGACCGTTGGATCTTTAAAACTTTTCCCTAATCGTGGAATGGAGGGGAGGGATACACGATGATTCTTAATCTCCACGTGAGTAGGTTGGTAAAAAGACATGCAGCTCCAGCACATCCACAGGGAGAGGGAGAGGGAGAGGGAGAGGGAAATAGCAGCAGCAATTCCAAAGCAAATGGAAGGTGGGTTTGTTTAGAAAATCACAACCCGGACAAAGAAAAAGGATAAAAATAATGCAACAAACTTCAGGTCCTATATGTAAACTATTGAAGAAGAAGATCCGCCTACTACTTTCACAATCAATTATTCAAACCCCCTCTCTCTCTCTCTGTCTCTCTCTCTCTTCAACAACATTAATATATTACACAACAACGTGGTCTTACTATTTCCCCATTTCCTGGATCTTTCCTTCTTTCCGCTTTTTTCAACTTGGGCTGTTGGGCAGCTTCCATTTTCTCCAGAAAGTTGCCATCTTTCCTTAAAAACTAAGAAAGTCGAAACCTTTGAGAGTAACAGTTGATGGTTTTCTGTTGACTGTTGATTGTTGGTCGAGGAGGAAGGAGGAAGGAGGAGGAGGAGGAGATGGAGGAGGTGATACAGCAACAGAGGTCGTTGGCCGAGACGCCAACGTATTCAGTTGCTTCGGTTATTGTTGTTATGGTCTTTGTCTGCCTTCTGGTAGAAAGGTCAATATACAGATGTGGAAAGGTAAACAAAATGTCTTGGCTTGTTCTGCTTAGTTGGGAAATGTTTTGTAAGAAAGCTAATTTATTTCTAGTGCTGTAAATTTCTTTTGGTTAATATTTTTTATTAGAGAGATATTTGAATTAATTTGATTAAAATTGGAGCGGAGATTTGAACTTTTGGTGTTCTAGCCAACTTGACGAAGTCTTTTGATTCACAGTTGTAATGCTGTATCTAATTTATTATAGCTTCAAGAAAAGAAAATGGGTTTTATTTTAGGGTATTTTTGTTCACGATCATATTTATGGCGATTTTATGAGTTTAAATTTCGAGTTTTTCTAGTAGATAGATACAAATCTCAAAATTGATAAATATGGTGGTGAGCATTACCACCACGTCACCACTTGACAGTGGTGAGCAAAATTGCGTCCTTTATTTATTTTGATGTGTCGGGGACCCATTTAGCTATCTGGCATACATTTTTGTTAGTTTGGAGATATACATATGAGAAGAGTTTTGTAACGAATTGATGATGAAATGCTTTGGAAAATTTGCTGATTTGTAGATTCTTCAATGTCTGGGACCCAGCTAGCTACTTTGCTCAATTAATTTTGTTTTGGACACTAGATTTTTTATCAAGTGAAACCCACAGACCTACCTGTTTAGTTTAGTTCACAAGTTTCCATCGAACACGTCGAGACGGTCTAGTGGTACGCCTTGATAAAATTAGTCGTAGAACCATTCAATATAATGGCGATTTAACTTTTTCAATGTGGGACCTGCTTCGACAGTTTCTATGCTTGGTTGCTGAGAAAAGGGCAGGAAAGGAGAGGAAATAAGTTTGAATGTTGTTGTGATGGAGGGTTGTTTTATTCTTAATAAGTTCTTTTTTTTTAACAATGATATTATCTTCTTTAAAGGGGCGGGGGTGTGCTTAGCCTCACAATGGGCTAGCAATAATGTGGTTCAAATTCGCCTTTGGCGAGAATTGAACCTAAGACCCCTTGCTTACAAGTGAAGAGGAATACCACTAGACCATAGTACTAAGTGGCGAGCTTAACAAGTTCTTGAGGGCATTTATGAATTTTGGATTTAAGATCTTTCAATTTTAGTTTTAGTTTTCAACAGTGATTGGTGTTATTTTGTGTGCAGTGGTTGAAGAAGACAAGGAGGAAAGCGCTGTTTGCTTCTTTAGAGAAGATTAAGGAAGGTGAGTTGAGCCTCGGGTTTAAGTTCAAACAGTACAAGTTCTCTACTAAGGAGTGCTAGACTTCTAATATCCCTAATGTTTGTGACAATGCTGGTTAAATGTTTACATTTCTCTTCTTGTTCTAATTGGCATTTCGGTCTTCATGGCAGAACTGATGCTGCTTGGCCTAATATCGTTGTTGTTGTCACAATCGGCAAGGTGGATCTCTGGGATTTGTGTAAACTCTTCCCTTTTCACCAGTAAATTTTACATATGTTCCGAGGAAGATGACAGCACCAAGAAGCATGTCATGCTTGAAAGTTCTCCTAACAAGACTCAGATTCCAAGAGGATTAACTGATTTTTCTCATCAATGTGGTGAGGTAAACTGGTTTCCGAAGTTAAAATTTGGAAGATTTGTGGATGCATTTTCCTTACAATTTCTAATGGTTAATTGCAGGGCCGGGAACCGTTTGTTTCTTATGAGGGACTGGAGCAGCTGCACCGGTTCCTGTTCGTTCTTGGGATCATCCATGTGTTGTACAGTTGTTTGGCTGTGGCTTTGGCTATGAGCAAGGTGCAATCTTCATCCCTAATTCATTTCCTTGTGATGATCACTGCATTCTGAGAAAAGTCTTCCGTTAGCTCCAAGTACTCTAAGAAAAGACATGGAGTACTTGGAGTTAACGGAAGACTTGGCACAAAACTGAGCGCAATGGCATTCTAGGATTCATACAACCGACCCCACTTAGTGGGATAAGGCTTTGTTGTTTTTGGCCATTGCATTCTGAATTTGTGCACCTGTTTACAGATTTACAGTTGGAGGAAATGGGAAAATCAAGCAATCTCATTGGCTGATGCGAATTTTCAAGGTACATGAGAAAACGAAAAATAAGATAGTTAAGGTGCCTCCTGGAATTTGTTCAGCACTCACTTAGCAATGAATCTGTTAAAAGCCTTGTTATGCTGGTGAAAATTTTCTCAATTGCTAAACGCAATAGCCTAATTGAGGTCAATTTCAAGGCCATTCGACACCATCTTATCAGAGAAATTGGTCGGTAGTGTTGGATAACCTGATGCTTGCGGACCTGTAACCTTATCAGATTAAGCAAAATCAAATATTGTGATGTCTCGTACTAGCTAACATTAATGATTACATATGTCAATTAATTTAAACAAGAAAGGTTTGTTTTCAATAACCATCCTCCAGCCTGTGGCACTTACACTTCTGTCTGAAGAGGGTTATAGAACAGCAGGCCTGGGTTTCTTTTTGTCAAGTCTGAACCAAAAAATTGGCTATTGAGATATCTGAGCCGAGAGAAGTTATCTTGGACACAAGAAATGAACTTGTTACGATGAATTTTCTTGGTCGAAATCTAGAAGTTGGTACTTGAGAATATTTACCCAGGAGTTAGATATGGGAAAGAATATTAGTTCATTGTCAAGGGGTTCTGATAACAACCGAATAACACAAACTGGTGTGGAAATGTGCACTTGGCTGATATGAGTTAAAAAACGCACACCTGCACACACACACTAGCATCAGCTTCAGTATTGGAGTCTAGAAGAGTAAATTCAGAGGTTTTATTTTGTGGATTTTTTTGCTTCCTTTCAACTGATAACTTCTAGTGCATTTCCATGCCTTCTTCATTACCCTATTTTTGCAAGTCTTTGAAGTACATATATATTATCTTGGCTATATGAGCCTACTAATCCATTGGTGTTTTCTTTAGCAAAGAAAAACAAGGTCATGAAGCGGCAGTCTACCTTTATTTTCCATCACACATCTCATCCATGGAGCAGGAATCGGCTTCTAATTTGGATGGTAACTTATCATCCTTGATACAAAAGAAGATATATTAAACCTTGATTCTCCCTTTTCACAAAAACTAATGGTAACAAATTTTTGTAAGATTTGATAAAAACAAAGGGAGCTGAAACATACCCCTTTGAGTTCATTTGCCTAGTGTTTTC